AGCCACGGAAGCCGGGAATAATTCTATAAAACACCTGGCCATGTGTGCGTGTTTGCGTGTGTTCTGTGGGTAAACATAATTTAAATTTATGAAGCCACATGAAATGCCAGCACAAAAGTGAAATGTTATTATTTCGCATAACAAGCCACTCTTACACTCTTTGCTCGTGTTTTTTAGCTGGTGTTAATAGCCAATGGAAACCGATAAAGGCAAATATACTAAACGGAAGGACTTTAAGCTTTGCTGTGAGCTATAAAGCTATAATATATATTTATAATGTAAAACCAAGCAAATACTAATTTAATTATACATTTTAATCGAGAAAAATAAGTGTCAATACTAAAAGATAAGCCTCAGAACTCTTTATTTTAATGTTATTTATTGGTTTTTAAAAATACGAGTTTTAAGACTTACATTTTGTAATAAACAGTTCCAAATGCAATTTGTACAAAATGATCTTGGTTAACAGATTTAGAAGACATCGGGATTAATTAAAACAAGATGAATCTTTTTACTTTAAAGCAAACATAATACGTCATAATCTGTCCACGGTGAAGTCCTGATAATGAAGGAGACTTTAACTGACCTTAAAAATCGTTATACCCCGAGGAGAGATTTTACAAAAGCCTCACAATTAGGCTTCCGGTCGCAACACACACAACCGCATTCAAATAGGCATATGTATGTATATGTATATGTACATATGCAGATGTGTAGAATAATCGTGGGTGTTGGTGTGTTGTCTGGTTGTGTTTTGAAGTGAAAGCAAAGTCCTTTCATGCCGACATTTTTCCTTTCCATTTTGGACGGCATAATGCGAACACACACGCGCACGAGTATGAATGACATTTTACATAATTAACTGACAATGAGTTTATGTGCACAAACAAACAAAATAAAGACACACATGCATTCGTATGTACGCCATTTGCATATGTGTGGGTGGGGCCATAACCTTTCCCGTTGAACTCCCGCAAATTCTCAAAGGACTTAAGTTAATTATCACATTTTTTACACACAATTTTACTTTGCATTGATGCGTTGCACGACAAGAACAGGGGCGGTGGGCGGTTGGCGATGGGCGATGGGGGCCAAAGGGGGCGTGGCAGGGGCGGTGTCTCGTTAGCGAAAAGCTGGGGGCGTGGGCAGGCCAAGCATTAAAGCGTAATTATGTGTATAATTTGTTGTAATTTGCTGTGAAAAGCATCACAAACAGCCGCCGTACATGAGATGGGCTCATTTAACCAGACCTTAACCCCCTCCTGTCCCAGCCACGCCCACCCAGTCGCAGCCGCCCCTCTAGGCCATCAGTCGTAGCGAAAAAGTTTAATAAACTCATTAATATGCGATAATCAGGCCAGGCATTAAGCGATCTGTATGTGTTCGCCTGTCTATCGCACACGAATGTTAACCGGACAAAACTCGCATGCGACTTTAATGCAACTCTCGGACTTAAATTGGGTAACTAAAAAATGGTTAAGTAAATCAGATAATGACAACGGTTCACCATTGTTTCAACTGCGTTTAACCAACTTCGTACTGTATTAAAATATTGTATTCAATATAAGGCACTTTTAAATCTCTTGATGATCCCTTATTTATCTTTATTAATTAAGTTATAATTATTTTAAATAGTAGTGTGGATGATGGGTGATCCTTAGAAAAGAATTTGCTCAATCAAAAACATTCAATTGTGTAGGGGGCCTGAATTACTCTCTGGTTCAAGAGCCCAGCAACAATTTGTCTTGTTTACTCAACAGATTTTGGCCATATCTGAACGGCAATCCTTTATTCGCGTCGTTTTCATTGCCTCCACTTTTCATTTCACACCCGTCCGCTCGCTCGGCCTTTTCCCCAAACACTTTTCCAGCAGGCGACATTTTGCCAACTTTGCTGCCATTTGAAATCTTTTTCCTTTATGCCAATTGGCAGGTCACACCAATTGAACTTTAATCGCTGCTGACTTTTGTCATTGCTTTATCGTTTAGGCGACAACAACGAGGCCCCACTCCCCTCCCCCCGAATTTCCCCGCGCTTTTCCGGGCTTCCCACTCCAACTGGACCCGACCCCAGGTCTCCCTTCAAATTGTTGCCAAAAAACGCGGTCCAGACGTAATCCCCGAACGCAGACTGCCCGGGTCCGGCGCTCTTTGTCTCATTGAATAGACCGGCCACGCCCCCTCTGGGCGCGATCTGTGTTGGTGTGTGTGTGTGTACGCGTTTAACTACGCGTGTTCGAATTTTTATGCCCGTCAGTTAGAAATTTTCAGCCATTTCAGCAGAATGTAAAAAGAACAGGCAGAAACATTCAAGTGAGGAGTCGTGGAGCGGCGAGAAAAAACTGTCGTACAAATCTTTGAAATTGCTCCACCGAGAACTATTTTCAATGCGTCGGAATCAATAAATTTGGCCAAGCATTCGCGGCATCGTTTTGTCGGACAATTTGGCGGAACTCCCTAGATTTCCCCCCGGACCTCAGTTCCCCTCCCCCGACCACTCGGTTTCATTACCCCGGGTTCGCATAGTTTGTGTGGGATGTCGGTAATCGTAATTGCGGGTCTGATAAATATTAATGCCGATGGTGTGCGCGGTGTGTGGGATGGATTCCTGAGCCTCAAGATGCTTTTGCCCCAAAAGCGGCTCTTATTTTGGCTGTTTGCTGATGCACGTTTTATGGCCAACTTAGCACGTGCTCCTTCCAACGCAACCTTTGACCTGGCAGAAATATATTATTTGAAAATATTTTCCGTTTTCGGTTTTTTCTTTGTTTTTGTTTTGCAGAGGCGCAGTGGTCATAAATTTCGGGAAGAGTCATTAGCAAATAGGCTTAGTAGAGCTATTCGACTTTATAAATATACATATATAATCCAGGTCTAGAGCACACGTGCTTTGAAGAGCGGAAGAAGATAGTTGCTTAGGAATATAGTAATACGTAAAATAAAATTCTTCAAAGTAAACAAATAATAAGCACTATCAGTAAAATTGGTGAAAACAATTTTGTGGCGTAGCAAATATTAGGTATCAACCGAAAATAACCAAATAATATTTCTATTAACACTAAACAGATTATACATTTAAGAATGAATCATTTTTTCTGTCCTCAGTTGTTTTATAAATAAAGTTGAAAAAATTCCCCTGAACTTCGTTTAGCATGAACATGGATGATAACAAACGCACAAACCATCATAATTGCCCATCAAATGACATTTCACTTTTGCTTTAAAAAATGAACATAATTTAAAATTTAATTGGTCCAAAATTGCACTGAATTATGAATAAGGCGACGATAAGGTCTTAAGTCAAATCAAAATAAAAGATTTGCAATGTCTGTTTAATATTGCAATCTTTTTATTGATTCTGAAAACTGAAAGTACGCAGAACTAATCCAAATTCACTTTAAATTTACTTTCCAGTTCGCTAGCAAGGCCGTCTGTTTTCACTTCTCGAATTAAAAAATGTTAATCGCCTTTTCAGCTGATGCAATTCAAATGCCGATTACGTTGCTCTCGGGCATAGTTGCCATTATTCTATGTCGAATGCTCGAGTGTGAATTATATTGATTCTGATTTCAGCTGAAATCAAATCAGAAACAACTCAAAAAACCAGACAGAAGTTCAAGACACTCAGTCAGAAGTCACACACAACTACGAAATTATAGTGTATTCAGCACGCAGCGCACTCATTGTTTATGTTTGTTTTGTTTTTTTTTTGCCAGTAATTGCCTGGTTCGGAAGCTGGCAAAGACCCAGGTAACGGTTAATCGTCGACGCCGTCATTAATTAGCCACAAAATCCATTTTAGACAACAATTAGCCACATGGCAAAGCGACGATCGACAAACACGAGGTTCTGGCAGCGCACCCAGCCCCTCTGGTCCAATTAATAAGCCTTCGGGCAAACAAAATAAAAGCAAATGTGACACCAAACGAACATAAAACATACAAACAGATATTCTCCGCAAAATAGAGATCTTTACTCACATTTATTTGCCAAATTCTGACAGCCATACAAAAAAGGGAAACAAAACCCCACCAACAACTTGTTCAAACAAGACGAAATTGCGAATACGCAACTTAAAATTATTATCTCCCGACAGACCCAGTGTCAACAAACTGAAACAAGGCAAATAATTAGTGCAGCCAAAAGCCAAAGCACACACATATATTACGATTTTATTGCTTTTGTCTCATTCAAGCACTTTGAGTTTAAGATATTGAGTTATCATGTGGACAGAGGGATTCTGGGGGAGATTTGATTATGGTCACAAAGAATTTTAGGTCAGCTCTATTATTTTTAATGCAAACGCCACCCCTGAATAGGGTTATTAAAACAGTTTAGTCCAGTCCACTACACACCCCTTTCGAATACTTATATACACACTTTACTATTAATTGTTTTTAATCAGGGCTTTAGAACGCCCTTTTTGAATATAGTACAAAGCAATCTGACAAAAGCTTGATTAAATTAAATTGTTATCAAAATAAATGTTTCCATGATTGTTTCCAATCATAGCTTTAACTTAGCAATTTGGTAGATTATTGTTTTAATAATTTCATTTAAAGAAAATGCTTACATTATTATTTGTCTGTTAAGCTGTTACCATTAAATATAATATATTTTGGGACACAATCAGTTAACTTGGAAAAAAGCGTAAAAACCGAAAAATGAGTCTGTACGTTTTTCCAAGTTGTGAGTTAAATACTAACGGACTACTCTTAATAACGACCAGGAACTGAATCGGGGTGCAATATAGGATAATGAGTATGCAAACCTCTAAAGATATACCCAACTGGATGTGAGAGGGCGTTGCGAACCTATAAATAGACCCAAAAGTGGACGGTGGAACTGTTTTTTGTGTGTTTGTTGCCAGTGAAAAGCCGCGTTCCGCAAATACTTGAACCCAACGTATACGTAATTGCCTGGTTCAATGAGAAACGCCCAATTAGCTGGGACTTTTGTTTTAGCTTTTCAAGCCTGGCTTGCAAACTCAGTTCGAAGCCGAGTTCGCTGGAAAGTGGTCAACGGTAGCAACAGCAATAACAAAAACAACAACACCTGAGGCAACAATAGCCGAATAGACGAGCGTTGATTTATCTCTCTTTAAAGTTCTCCGTATCGAGCTGTCACCACTTTATTTTAGCTTCAGACGCGCTGCGAGTTGCACGCGTCTTGCAGCTCACCCAAAAGTAAAAAAACCCAAACAAATAAAACGGAAAATTGATTAAAAATTAACCCGCAATTAAACGTAACAAATAAATAAATCGGGCAGTAAAAAAATCATCAGCTCCCAAATCTCGTTTTTGGGGACTCTAAATATCGGTTCTTCCGGGTTTTGATTCGATCTGTATAAAGGGAAATCCAGCCTCAAAATGATATTCGGTCGCTGGACGCGTAAACAAGTACTCACGATGTTCGGTGTGGGAGCTGCCCTCCTGGGCCTCGTAATTGTGATTGGTGTGGTGAACAGTGGAGTGTCCTCGAAGGATCTCGAATGGAAAGATGCGTCCAGATCCAAGTGCTACAAGACCAGTCCCAATACCACGCACTCCACCCTGGAGTTGGTGCACATCGTTTTCAGACATGGCATTCGCACCCCCGTGGACACGTATCCCAAGGATCCCTACTTGAAGGATGGCTTCAAGCCAACGGGTTGGGGACACGTGACCAACGTGAGTGAATGAAAATAAGTTATTTACATTCGTAAACGAATACATGGTGGCACAAAACAGTCATTTAAAGTTACTTATTATTTCCAGTTAGCACAAAATAATCATTCAATGTTACTTATCAGTTCTAGTTAAATTTATTAAAACGAATTACTTGTAAAATCTTACACGCTTACTTATACAGTTCTTGGAAAACTTCTACTACAATACATACCGATAGTGATTCAAAATAAAATTAATTTTAAATGTTTTTATTGAGTTATTTACACTTTTTTTAATGAGATGTTTATTATTTAATTATTTTACGATCACTTGTATATGTAGGTATGTTTTGCAAGGTATTGGAGGAGTCAACATATTTATTTACAACAAAATATATCAAAAAGTAAAACAAAATTTCTTAGATGACATTTTGATTTGCTATTGTTTTCGATTATAAAGAATAGAACATGCAAATTCTGATGTTGTTGTTGTTTCACATAGAATATGTGTAAGCTGTTCTTTTAAAAACAATGTTTAACAAGCTGAACTAAATCTGTATCTTAATAAAACAAAGGAATTATTGTCTATCATAGTGGGTATGCATAAACAAAATTAAGGGACTTCAATTAACGTTTATTAAAAAAACAGTTCTCCTATAATTGCAAAGCGTTAAACCGTAGTATTCAGGAAAATGCTATATGTATTTGCATATTGTTTGAGTTTTATCTTATTTTTTAGTCCGGAAAGCGGGAACTTTTCGAAATGGGCCGCTGGCTCAGCCGTCGCTACGGGGATTTCATGGGTCCGTACTACAGACCAGAGGTGGGTTACAGTAAAAATCCGTAATTGCGGATCTAAGCAAGTTTAATTTCGCAGCGCCTCCATGCCCAAGCAACCGCCTCTCCAAGGGCCATGATGTCCTTGCAAACGACGCTCGCCAGCATGTTTGAGCCACGAGGAACCCCCATGGAGTGGAATAAGCACCTGAACTGGCAGCCCATTCCAATCGTTTCGGAGCCCCTGGATGAGGACTCGGTAGGTTGCCTGGATTACCTTCCTTTCATAATTTAATTTGCGTGAATCGTTCAGCTCCTGCTAGTCCGCACACCCTGTCCTCGTTATTTCGAGGCACTGGAGGAGGTTTTCAAGAGACCGGAAGTCATCGCCGAAACGGAACCCTTTCAGCAGATGTTCCGCGAGCTGACAAACCTCACTGGGATGTCGATTCAGAGTGCGGAGGACATCAACTCCCTGTACATAACTCTGCTGGCTGAACAGGAGTTCGGCTATAAACTGCCCGACTGGACCAAGGAGTACTTCCCAGACCGAATGCAGTTCCTGGCCGAGCAGAGCTATGTCTACAATGCCTACACTCCCGAGATGCAGAAGATCAAGGGCGGTCCCTTCCTGAAGAGAATGTACAAGGAGATGGTGGCCAAGAGAGCAGGAAGCCTCAAGCCCAGGGACCGCGCAATGTTCATTTACACTGGCCACGATTGGACAGTAGGTAATATCTTAATGGCCTTGGGTGTGTGGAAGCGCCAGATGCCGCGATTCGCAGTGATGGCCATTTTCGAGACGCATAGGGATAAGGAAACCGGTGAATACTATGTGGAGGTAAGGCATTCAATAAATTAAGGCGAGTTTAGTAATTAGGTACTTTTAAACGCGATTTACAATAATCGTTCTGAGGCGCTTCTCTTATATTTTTTCTTAGTACGAACAAAGCTTTGAAAATTCCCACGGTAGTTAGGCTTAGTTGTGATTTCTACTATAATTTATGCAAAAATATTTATATATGGGCTAGACCCCTACTGAGATTTCTTAGACTTGCATCGAAAAAATCTTTTTACTACTATATGTAATTATTAATATTAATTCTCTCTTTACTAAATGTATGCACTCAACAAAAATATACTTAGTCAGCGATCACTCTTATTATATTATATTATATTATATTGCTTTACACTAAAAAATGTACAATGCTTGAAGCCAGTGTATATTTCACTAAACTAAAACTAAAACTAAAACTAAAACTAATCGCTTTAATGCCATTTCGCAGATCTTCCTCCGGAACGATGAGCACGGCTGTCTGGAGCAGCTCCAGCTGAAGGACTGCGACCGCCAGTGTCCGCTGAGTCGTCTGATTCAGCTGAGTGCGGAGGTGCTGCCAAACGAACCCGCGGAGCAGAGGTGTCGACCCCATGACGACGACTTCGTGGAGCCGCCACCGCGCGTAATCGATCAGAATGGCCGTTAGCGAATAGCGTTTGCCAAAGAGAAATTTGATCACTCATTGTTACCATAGCAGCCGACGGAGTGTAGTGAAAAGAATATTTTAATTTATACAGTACAATAGAAATCCCCTAAAAGTAAAGATAATTGAGTTTGTTTTCGGGGGGAAACCATTTTCGTGCGAAACTAATTAAATTGGAATTTTTTGAAATGCCTGCCATTGTAGTGATGATTTCGCTGCTCGCTCTTCGCCGCTCTTATCTATCGGTGTGCGAGTGCTGAGAGTATGGGTGTATACACCACATAATCAAGACTTAAAAGCAGTCCGCAGTTCTATTGATGCAGTCACTCAACGCACAAGCCTCAACGAAGCCGGTCCACTTAATTCCCAACGATCGCTAAAGTCAAATCGCGAAAATGCTAAGGTTTCTCGGCCTTCTTCTTTCTGTGAGCTGTGTGTTAATCGTTCGCGGAGGTGTTATAGAAGTGGAAGTTCCCCAAGAAGTAACTGAGGGACCGGAGACCGACTTCAAGAACCCAAACGGTGTACACAAGCCCACCGGCAGTGAAAGCAACTCGACCCTGAAGCTGGTTCACGTGGTAAATAAGTGAAAAACGCAAAAACGCCGAAATAATTACACAGACAATTCGTTGGCCAAATAACTAGCTCATGCCGAATTAGAACTCGTTAAATATTTGGCAACTAAACGAGTCGGTAGACCCTAAAATTACCCAAAATGTGTCAAACTCATTTAGTTGGTGGTGACAAATTCTATAATAGCGCACTTAAATTTTCTCTTAGGTAAACAACATTTTCACCGTTTCAACTGTTACAGTTCTCCTAAAACAAAACTGAACACTCGTTAGGGTTCTAAAGCCAGTTTGCTGTTTGCTTGGCGTATACGTAATATTGCATTAAATACCAAGACCTGAAACCGGTTCAAAAATTATGCGGCTATTTTATTTGCATAACTATAGGACAATTAAAATTAAATAAGTAGGGAAATGAGCAGATTCCAGTTTTATAAATATTTATTTGTTGAAATCAGTGTTAACACGTTCTTATTAAGGGAAAAGTACTATTCTATACTATTCACAATGTTTTATTTAAATAGTGTATTAGTTTTATTTGAAACTTTCTTGGATTGAGCATACTCTTTTGTGGGTAAAAAATAAATGGCAATATTCTAATAGTTGTCCGCTTGATATATTTTATTATTATTATGGTTTGAAAGAGCACTGTGAATAGATAACACAAATGTATTTCACTTCCCACAGCTTTTTCGCCATGGTCCCCGAACTCCGGTCAGCACTTACCCCAAAGATCCGTTCATCAACGAAACCTACGCGCCGTACGGATGGGGAGCTCTCACTAACGTCAGTACTTAGCAAGTATAAACGGGATTATCCAAATTAATGCAATTTCATTCGACAGGGTGCTAAAGTGGAGCTGTATAAAATCGGCAAACAACTGCGTCAGCGCTATAAAGATTTCCTGCCCTCCTACTATCAGCCCGATGTACGATAAGTAGAGCAATCCGCAGGGGCCACAAAAATAATCAGAGCGTTGCCCTTTCAGATGATCCGTGCCCAGTCTTCGGAGTCGCCGCGCACCCTGATGTCCATGCAGATGGTTCTAGCCGGACTCTTTCCGCCGGAGAACACGCCCATGGAGTGGAACCTGATGCTCAACTGGCAGCCCATTCCCATTGTGATGGAGCCCGAGGCAACTGATGTGGTAGGAATAATCGAATTATTTAAATTAAATTAGTCACTTACAATTATTATTTCTTGTCTAGCGCTTAAGAATGAAGGCACCCTGTCCGCGTTACGATGAAGCCGTTTTGGAGGTGATTAACCTGCCGGAGGTCCAACAACTGCACTCCGAGAGCGCCGACTTGCTCCAGGAACTGACCAACCTCACTGGACTCAACGTTACTCATGCCCACGATGTCACCAATGTTTTCATCACACTGCAGACGGAGCAAACATACGGGTTGGAGTTGCCCTCGTGGACAAAGGGTTACTATCCGGAGAAGATGTTGCCCCTGGCGGCCAAGTCTTATGTCTACGATGCCTACACCACTGAAATGCGAAAGATGAAGGGCGGCTTCTTCGTTGAGCTCCTGCTGCGGCAAATGCAGGACAAGATCTCTGGAAAGCTGCAGCCCAAGGATCGCAGGATGTTCCTCTCCTGTGGTCACGATTGGACCATCACGAATGTGCTTTCCGCCTTGGACGTTTGGGAGGCTCAGATGCCGCGGTTCTCAGCCCTTATTGCCTTTGAACTGCATCAGAACCCCGAAACAGGGGAGTATTTCCTGGAGGTCTTCTTCCAAAACGACCCGGAGAAGGAGCCGCAGCAACTCCAGATTCCAGGCTGTGAAAAGCAGTGCCCCATTGAAAAGCTGTTGGAGCTAACCAAGGACATAATCCCGGATGCTCCCTACGCGGAGTTATGCGAAGCTAAGGGAACCCAAGAGGGAGGAAGAATCAGCTATAATAAGTGAGGGATATCCGTGATTTATGGTCCAATGTGCAGTATTAAGATTACTTAAAGAATAAATACATACTCGTGTCTACCTATTATATGTGTAACTTTTTGTGTGTTTTTAATTTCAGGGCATTGATTATTGACACGCTAGGTGGGTGCATTGTACACTAATTATCTGGTTAAGTGGGTGTTTAAGCTGAACTAGTTTGTGGCGAGATAGCCTCGTCATGGGAAGGCAGATTCAAAGGTTATTTAAATAATACAAGCTAGCTGCAGGTCTTCAATTTTTGTGGTACTATGTAGAGTAAATACAAATGACTGCTTTCTTTGATCTAGACAAAAAAGACTCGCAAATGTAATCCTAACAAATTTAGTTTTTCCTTTAATTTTTTGCTAAGAAGGGTTCGTAAATTAATTTCTTCCGTACAAAGCGGTCAAAATACATAGTAAAATCCTATCTATATTTTGACTAGCGCATACTTTTAGGCGACGTTTATTTCAAGTTCTTTTTCTTTTTTTAATTACTGATATTACATGTATATTTCTTAAAACTAAAGTAAAATATTTTTCTTGAATTATTTTTATCCAATTTGAGATTTTTTATTAATCAAAGCAAATCAAAGAGTCTACTTCAATTAAAGTTTGAAGAGCCTTTAAAATTCTGACACTTAAATCAAAATAACAATGTATCTCAAAATAGGAATTAATAAACTAATATCCGCCTTGAAGGTATCCAACATTTGCTTACATCTCAACCCACCCTCTCACCTCAAGTCAGCACATCCATCATATAAAGACTGTTCGCTCTTATTTAAATTCAAACAGTTGGCATTTGAGGCTCCACTCACTCGAATCGGAAGTAATTCACAAACAGCAGAACGGATCCAAACAAAAGGGCATTATGTAACTTCAAAAATACTTCCGGACTATGACGAAACCGTAATCCAAATCCTGCCCGGCCCCGAAAGCAATTAAGCAACGATAATGGATAATGTGAAATTAACATGTTCCCCGATCAAGAAGCCAAACGATTTATTACCAAAGTGCTTTCACATGCAGTTTCGGTGACAAATTCATTAAATTTCGGAGAGGGGGCGGCGGCGCTAACCAGAAAGAAATAAGTAAGCGGAGCAAATCCGAGAGTTCATATAAATTAAAAGTCGCGGCCGCGTTTTTAAACGCCTCAAACGCTGCGGCATTGTGTCGGTGTCTGGGGCTTCTGCTCGGTCAAACATATATTCGTACAATAGACCGCCAGCTACAATAACACATAGAATAATAGTAATAAAAAGAGCGACGGTGACGAAAGCATTTGGCGATAATGGAACGATAAAAGAGCCAAACACTCATGCTTTTCCACTTTTCGACTTTTGCAATGATATATTCCCCGCAGTACTGCCGACGATAGTGCACAAAGACAGTCGCGTGCGGCCCTTGAAAGAGTCGAAGATTTAAATATTACCTCAGTGGCTATCAGCTCTATATTTGATTTGATCCACGGCAAACAGAAGATAGTAGCTCTACACCCGGAGAAACCAGTGCACTCAGTAAAGGTCGCGTGGCGCTAAACCCGTTCGAAAATTAGATAGCTTCGTGGCTCGATCAGCACACTCGAGAGTAGATTAAGCGGAGCTAGTCTTCGATCTGACCCGAGGCTCTTGACTCCCAAAAACCGAATCCGAGACCGTAGAAACCTGCCCAAGCGAAGTCGGAGAATCCGAGCCCCTGACAAATTCTACGGGTATAAAGCGCGCCCAGCAAAATGCCGCGTTCGCATTTTACTCGACGGCATTGTCTAGCGATGACGGGCGGCTTAATTGCATCGGCGGTTCTAATCTGGTGCGTCGCCCACTCGGCGATCGAGTCGTCGGCCAAGCTCTACGATCCCGCCGCCGATAAGTCCACGCTCGAGCTGCTGCATGTGGTAAGTCAGTGGCCAGTGCTAGTCGCATAAAATTCATAATATTTAAAGCCCGGTTCACAAATCAGCTGAGCGGCAGAGCTGACAGCTAGTGATCAGTCATTAGTGAACAGGTAGCTTTCACAAGCATCATAAAATTGTGTAAATAATCTGCAGAAGTCTAGGAAGACAATAAAGTGAAAGTTTGCAAAAGTGTTTAAATCAAAACATATTTGAAAAAAAAAAACAAACTTTAATTACTTCGAAATTTATGTTCTCATAAACATTTTTTAGAGTGAAAAAAGTTGTTATTTTCTTTTAAAGTTCTAAAAAGATGCAGAGTAAGTTTTACAATTTTGTTTAAGCGACAAAAACAGTGAATTATTTTGAAATTGACAGCCGTTTGCCTCTGGCTATAACAAAACTTTTGTAGCAGATTACACAAAATTTAACCCAACTTGTAAATTTATCTCTAATAACTTATGTTTGGTTTAGAAAAACCGCGATAGAAAAAAGAAAATTTACAACTGTGCCAAGTTATCTTTGGGCTCATAATAACGTTTTATTTTTTAGAGCCATATATTATATATCATAAAAAAGTGCACACCAATTCACAGTAAGCAAGCAACATTTTAAAATCCGGCTGATAACAAACAATGTGACAATCGCGTTAGAATATTTTGTTTACCGCAATGAGAAATTCCCTGGCATTGACATTTACGTGGGCTATAAAAACAAACATTCTCTTGATAAAGTAATTGTTTTTAAACGTGTTAAGCGAAAGTGCAAACGCTGGCACTTTTTTTGTAGTCGTGTGTTAACTCATAATTATTACTGTACTACAATTTAGTGTCAGCTCGGGTTACAGATAAGATTCTGTCCGGATATTTAATCGTAACCATCAGCACGGAAAATAAATTCACGCGATAAAGATATGACAGCCGCATAGCTGGCAGATCTTTTAGAGGTCTAGTATCGGGTTGCTTTGCATTACTCTTATATTATTATATCAGCTGTTTTAACAATTTGACTGGCACAATTCAATTCGATAATACGTTCATATAATTGCTGTGACTTACACTTTGCAAAAAACAATCAAGTGCAGCCAGGCGGAAAGTTTTGCGCTAAATGTTACCCAAGCTGCAAATACATTTTGTTTGTTGTAACTTCATTTAAAAGCCAGTTGGCTGTAAGAAGTTCGGGCTGACCTTGGATTAAGTGGTCATTGAAACTAAGCGAAATCCAATTAAAGCACGTTGCTAATAAATATGTATTTTATATAATTTTTTCGAGTGATACACAATTATATTTGCCAATTGTTTTGAATGTTATCTCAATTACCAGTGGTGGGGGATATTTTTACAGAGGGGTGTAATTATATTGATTAATGTTTCTAGTAAGTCTTATAACAAAGTTAGTCTTATAGCAAAAAAAATTAAAAATGCCTTTTTAAAACATTTTTAAGCTTATTGAAGGGACTAACTTAATCAACAAACAAATCTATTTAAATAACCTGTATAAAAGCCATAAAACCCAGTGTAAATATATTATTTCTGTGAAATAGCTTTTGCTTTAATTAACTTGATTATACACTCTGCTAAGTCATACGTCTTCTAAAGACCCACAAATAAAAACAATTAATTACAAAACGAAAGCAAAGCAAAACCGGCTTCCCAAATTACACTTTGCCCAAAAACCTGTCTGCAAACAAAACTGCGACGCACTTTTGCTTTTTGTTTGAGCTCTGATCAGAGTCGATTGATTAACTGGAAATACAGTGCTAAGCATATAGAGATAGTCTGATTTAGATCCCAGGGCTGACCTTCAAGTGAGTCGTCGTCTTATCAGCGCGAAAGTTGGAGCAATCAAATAGAGATTACTTCCGCGGGAATCTGGGGTCGCACGAGCGATTAAATATTACAAGTGCGTCGCGTGCAGAGTTTGTTCAAAGACGCCGGCTAATTAAATGGTTTCTGGTTTTCGATCGGTTGACATATATACCTGCATACTGCGGTGGACATGTGGGGAATCCGTTTGACTAATAAAAATTGTAATTGCTAAACTTCAGGTATTCCGACATGGACCACGAACGCCGGCGGATACGTATCCAAGGGATCCCTATGTAAATGAGACCTACTATCCCTTTGGCTGGGGACAAATAACAAATGTGAGTGGGGAAAAAGTTGTGCAGCACAAACTTTCGCCTCGTCATCCCCGGATCCCGGATCCCGTCCCCACTCCCCGTCCTCGTTCCCCTGCAAAGCATTTAAATAAATTGAAATGCAAATGTTTTGCTGCCAGAGCTGAGGGAACGGGAATGGGAATGGGAAAGGGAACCAGAATGGAAGTGGGAACGGGCCGGCTGCATTAACATATACACATGCATATGCTTATGCAATTGCAAAAATGCAAGGCATTTATTATTTTATAACACTTCTCTCCATCTCTGTCTCGGACTTTCTCCGTTCTCCGTTCCCCGCTGGCTCCCTGGTGTTGTCTCACGTGCCATCCGCTCATGCCATGCAATAAATCAACGCTCCAGAATGGCAAGCGCGAGCTGTTCAACATTGGTACTTGGCTGCGTAAGCGTTATGGCAAATTTCTGGCGCCCAACTACAGTCCTGATGTGAGTAAGCAGTCACTAACGAACCGACAAGGCACCAGCCCTTACCCCTTACACAGAGAGAAAATCTTAGATAATTTTAGAAAATCTTTTGATTTTGTTACGAGAGTTAAATGATGTTGCATTAGTACGGGTATATGCTGTGACCAAAAAGTAAAAGTAAAAAGTAAAAAGTAAATAGTAAATGAATAGAAAATGTGTAGAGCTTTGAATTCCCAGATTTTTTCTATTTGGAGTGCTTTTCAGTAAAGTGAACCTTCTTTCAAAGGTGAATTGTCTTTTCACAAAAATTCAGAATCTGTGAATTTTTAATCATACTTTTAATCTTTTTATTTGTTTACTGGTAAAGGTACCCATAGTTCATTTCTGAGAAGGAATTTAAATAGAAATGACTAGAGTGCTGAAAACAAATAAGAGCTAATCAGTTTTTATAGAGTCTAGAGTAATAGTTTCTAATTTGAATGTATAAATTGCTAATAAATTTAAATTGAGACTGATACAAGTTTGTAGTTACCCAACTATATTAAGATATAATTTAAAGTAATTTAAAAAATATTAACATTGATTTTATTGCTATTTGGAAATAATATCAGTACAAATTTGTTAAATAATTTAATACTTATCAAAAGGCAATATAATTTTGCTTTAAAGCGGCCACCGTTTTCTCTCTGTGTACCCTTACCATCCCTCCTACCATCACGTCCGCTGGGTGGCTGCCTGATAGTGCGGACGTTTACAAATTGCAAAGCTCAAGCGCGCTTGGCTCATCACTCAATTCCTTCTTTTCTCGTTCTGTTTCTGTTACCCGCTCTCCGCTTTCTCCTTCCCCGCTTTCTCCTTCCCCGCTTTCTCCTTCCCCGCTTTCTCCTTCCCCGCATTCTCCTTCTCCGCTTTCTTCCCTGCTCATCGATAGCTGGTGCACGCTCAGGCGACGGGTGTTCCGCGGACTCACATGACCATGCAGACTGTTTTGGCCGCCTTCTTCCCGCCAAAAGGCACCGCCATGGAGTGGAATAGTCGGTTTAATTGGCAGCCCATACCTGTCTACTCCCAGGAACTCAGCGAGGATACGGTGCGTATACTTGATTACTGAAATGATTAATCGAAACGATGGACTCCACAACGGATTTGATTCGTTGTATTTGTGTGTAATGGCATGAGGTGTTAACTCTCGAGATTTATTTTGACAAGGGTGGTATAATAATAGTTTAGGAAGTGAATTTTCGGTGTTACTTCACACTATAGTTTTTTGTTTGATATTACCTACTTTTTAAATAATTTTTATTCCACGTATTATATGTTAATTCCTCTTACAGTTTTTTAACTTAAGGTTTCAAAATTTAAATCAATTAGTCAAGTAAATTTGCAACTAGATTTAATTTCTGAACTAAATTCAAATCGGAAACAGAAATTAGGTTCTTACTCCATCAATAATTATTGTGTAAATATAAATTTTTTTAATAATTTTTTCAGTTGCTCCTAGTGAGAACGCCCTGCCCGCGGTATTTCGAGGCTCTCAACGAAGTCTACGAGCTACCAGAGGTAAAAGCGGAAATCGCTCCCTATCTGGAAATGTACAAGGAATTGGAAAAGCACACTGGCCTGAGCTTCAAGGAGCCGGAGGATGTGCAGTCCCTGTACTTGACTCTGCTCGCAGAACAGGAATGGGGACTTGAACTGCCCGAGTGGACGCACTCCTATTTCCCGGAGAGAATGCAGTTCCTGGCCGAGCAGAGCTACGTCTACAACGTCTACACGCCCGAGATGCAGAAGATCAAGGGCGGACCCTTCCTCAAGAAGATGTTGGATGAAATGCAGCAGAAGAGGAACGGAACCCTGAAGCCGAGTGGCAGAAAGCTCTTCATTTACACGGGCCACGACTCCACGGTGGTGAACGTCCTGTCCGCCCTGAAGATCTGGGAACGCCAGATGCCCCGCTACTCCTCGATGGTTTTGTTCGAACTGCACAAGAACAAGGAAACCGGCGACTACTGGGTGGAGATCTACTTCCGAAACGATCCCAAGGGCCAGGCACAAAAGCTCACGCTGCCTGGCTGCGAGTTCCAGTGTCCTTTGGACAAGCTTGTGGAATCCGTCAAGGACGTTCTGCCCACGGAAGCGGACGCCAAGCGGTGCGAGTCTCGGAATGAGGCCTTCACGGAACCCCCTCTTCGAGGGCCATGAGAGCCAGAAATTAGTGGATATATATGTAAATCACAAGGGTGCTACACATCTCAGGGAGTGGGTCTGAATAAAGCCCGCTAGTTAAGGCAGTTGTTTAACTTAGGCTGAATAAAGGCGTTTCCTCAATGAGGGCGCAATTGATAATTTACTGAACTCATTTTAATTCTACTTCAAACCTTTTTTAGATTTATTCAAATGTTACCAAAATGTTTAAAATCAATCAATAATTTCTTTAAAGTTTGTCGATAAATTTGATACCACTCTTTTTTATTAGTAACATGAACTATTATCCAGTTACTTTAATAATGTCAATAAGATAATACATATTATCAATAAGAACTAACGCCATATTTCGAACCCGTAGTAAGCATGCATAGAAATATTTACTTTCAAAGACCCAGATTGACTTCTCGACCTTCCCCCCAAAGTGCGTTGTGGCTCGGATCAGAGCTCCAAGTTTGCCGTCCGCCGTTCGGTGTCGGATATTGTCAGCCGGCGTCTTTTGCGCCCCATGTGGCAGCCAAGTTGGCTCATTTCCGCTCCGTGGCGACAGTCGACTGCCGTCATCGCCATTGCCATTGCCCAATAGGCCGCTTCCGCTTGGCCTTTGCCAGCGGCAAACGCAAACAACTTCCGCACTTGTTTAGCCAGTTGGATGTGCCACTCCATCTTCCACATCCAGCTCCACATCCACATCCACATCCATTTCCATTGCTCCAGTGCTCCATTGCTCCACACCTCCCCCCGCTGCCCGCTCATTTTTGCCAGGAGGTGACATTTTTCGCATTGCGGTTTACCATAAACTATTTCATTGGGGAGTTGTTTTCCACCTCGCCCATTTCTTTCTGCCCTAACCATCTGCTCATTCGCTTGTTCGCCATTGTTTACTCGTGTGCGTTGCCATCGCTCTTCCAGTTTTCCCTCGCCCGCCTGCCCTCTGCCTCTGTGTGTGCTTCAGTTTTTCCGCTCCGTGTGTGTGTGTGTGTGTGCATATCTGTAAACTTTATTTGTCAACGGGACGCATATGTTGTGTGTTTGCCAAAAAATAAACGAATCCCCCCTTAGCAAGTCGGCATTCCCCAATTGCATTCAGCTCGTGTGTTTGTTGGCGCTTTTAATTTTATCTTAATTTGATTTTCCCGCGGCGAGGGAAGTAGTTTGTGTGCGTCTGTGTGTGTGCGAGGGTGTCTGACAAATCTATAAGTGCATGTGCTCGTCTTGTTCCGCTGCGATGATTAATGGTGAGCAGAGAAGGGGTTGCTGCCGGAAGTAAGCATACGCCGTGTGGGCACCGATTTTGAGAGGGATTCTTCGGGTCAGCGAAAATGACAGGCAAGAAGTACGTCAATTTAACGTGAGTCTGACAAACCTATAATAGCTTTTTAAAATGTAATTTTAAAAGCCCCCGCAACAAATTATTTGTTTATTCTCTTACCCTTCATCTAAGGAATATATAAAACTGCATGGAAGATTCGGCTGAATTGAATTTTTATTTGAGCCTTCTAGTCAAAGGAAGTATAGTGCATTTTAAAATGTTTTTTCAGAACAGTCGAATTTAAAACCTGTGAACTGCGAGCAAACTTTTCAACGCTACCATATTATATATATGTGTTATACACCTGCTATGATTTATTTTCAAATTTTAATTATTTGTTTTTATTTAAGAAATTATTATTTTCTTGGAAGAACACCTAAAGGCGAACATAATTTTATGAAATTCCAAGGAAGGTATAGGTAATTTCTTTTAGTTATTCGAAAGTTGGTCCGTGGTCGAAGTAGAAGCCTTCTTGACGTCCAGTAACCTCAAGTAGCTTTGATCGCTTAGGGCGGTGCGAAATATTTTCAAGTCTTTCGTGACAATGTTGAATACCTTAACCTCTTCGCTAAAATCGTTCCAAAACTTTTCGTCGGGCTCTTGCTCCGTATTAAAGATTTTCTTTAATATCTCGTATAATTCAGAGCCCTTTTTGCGGATAATCAGCTCAAACTGGTTCTCTTCTTTCCCAAAGTAACGAAGATTTCGCAGTGTACGAACGCAATCAGGGTTGCGCAACAGCATTATTTTGGTCAGCTTCAACCTCTTCACCTTGGCTAAGATTTGTAAGCCCTCTTCAAACTTGCAGGATCCCAAACGACTCTCAAGCTGGCTGCAGAGACTGGTGAAATCGCGTTCTACGAATAGCGCAGCCTCCCGTGCCAGCAACTCCTTCTCAAAACGGCGAGCCGCGGTCCTGGGTATCAGGCTTGATGTCGGCTCCACGATTATCCTGCCAGGCATATCCTTCGGCTTCAAAAGACCGCACTCCAGATCCAGCTTTAACTCCTCCGCTTCCATGAGCGACTTGTGCATCCAGGTACTCTCCGCGTCGTCGTCCATGAAGTCCTTCGGCTTATTCCACTCGACGTCGATTCCCAGGGTCGTTGAGAGGGGAATGAATGCCAATATAATATTTTTTTTAGCTGACTTACGTGACATTTTCGTTTATGGCTGTCACCTAATGATAATGAAGTGCTGAATTGTAGCGAGGAAACTCTTTCTTTTTCTTCCAAAACACCCTAAAAAAGCCCGGTTAAAAGGACTGTCTATGTAAAATCAAGGTTGCTTTCATGTGATAAAAAAGAAAAAGAGAATTAATTAATTTAATATGGTCTGGCCGGAACACATTTGATTGCCAAAAATAATGGTTTTTAGCTGACTTACGTGGCATTGTCGTTTTTATTAGTTAACTCATGATAAATACTAGATACTTTGGACTAGAATAAAACCAAAATATGTTGTCAATGTATGGTGGCAATCCAGAAAACTTGACAATCATTAAATGAAAGTAAGGAAATAAACTGACGATGATATACGATACCTCTATTGTATATATAAAATATAAAGTAATAATAATTACTTCTATATAAAAGTAACCTTTATAAACAGATTTTTGTGCAGTCGCTTAACAACGAAAGGCAATGAATTTCTTATGCAACGGCTTTGACTTAATTATTAACCCTATTATGCAGTTACTTATTGCAGTAGTTACACCTCTCTTCCCTCGCGCCCAGATCGAGACATATGGCCAAGTCCACAAATCTACTTACGGCACACAGAAGCTTCAGTTTCAGCCTCAGTTTCATCTTCGGCTCAGTCAAAAAAGTTTGCGATGGCGAGCAAAGTTTTGTGCGGGCTAAGTGCAAGTCTTAGGGGAAGTTGGCCAGTTTTTCTCCGATTGCAGTGGGACCGGAGAAATAAGAGCGCCCAGTTGGCCCGAAGTTTTCCCTGAGCAGCTGCACTTTTGCCTCACATCTTTCTGCGGTCAGCTTACTAACGACTTTTCGATACGGACCGAGAACAGCTAAAACTTCTGCGCTTGGCCAGGAGATAAACGCTCGATTGGCGAGGGCTGCAAATGAAAGCCGACCACCTGGACGGAGTGGGCGGATCCACCTGGCCCTCCAGGTAATCCCGAGGAGGGAGAGGTGCCACGAGCCGGGTGGCATGCATATTAATAAGCTGCACAAATGTTTGCCGGCAAACAAAGTGCCAGGATGCCGGCGCTCAGAGTCGGATGCCGTGTAGTTCAGTCTATTAAAAGGCACAATGGACTTCCTGCCCCCGCAAGCCCTGCCACTCCGGATTCAAGGGGAGCACGGGGCATGTGATGCTTCATTTCCGCCTCCCTAGGGAATGAAGAGATGGCACAGAGAAAGAAATTCGCTTTATGAAAAACACTGATAATAAATATCTTACGAAAACGGAACTGATTGGCAAGCAATTTGTTTAATTTATGTTTGCTCCACAGGTATAACTCTTGTTCTTCAATAATTATAACACGAATGCTTTATTAAAACTCTATAATAATTAAATCACTTTTGCGTTTCGGCTAAACCTATTTCAAGTTATTCCAAAGCATATATTTTGTATATTTCTGAAAAGGATTTAATAATAATTAGACCTATTAAATGTTTAAAAGAGTTTTCGGTTTTTTGTCTGGTCTTCCTAACAATATTTGTTTTTGTAAATCCAGCATTTATATTGATCTTTGAGTTATAAATATTAGTATAAAATAAGTGTTGTCTCTTTTGCGTTCTAAAATGCCAAAATACCAAAAACCAAGCTTACATTAAGTATTTTCATAGCTATATATGGTTTAATTTTGAAAAGATATTTTTTATTAAAAAAAATTAATTTTTTTTTATTAAAAATGTCTTATGACACTTCTATGATAATTACAATTGTTTAAGGTTTTAGTTTAACTAAGATTTTAAGTATTACTGAAATATATACATTTTTTTTGTTTAGTTTTTGTTTTGTTTATTGTTGGTACTTATAGTTTTTTTCTCTGTAAAGAGAGTGAAAGCTTTCCTCACTCAGACTGTTTGCCGTTTAGTTTCGCATAAAGCGAAGTCCGCCCTGTAAAATGCATAAATCTTTGTTGGCACTGCAGCTCGGCTCATACCCAGATTCGCAGCCGTAAGTCCTGGGTTGCAGCTCCTGTATCCTGGCTGCTGGCTCCCGAGTCCTGAGACCCCCGCCTTACTTGCTCTGCCGCCTGCAGCCGCTTGTGCTCCTTGTTTGTTGCACGTTTCATTTGTCAAAAAAGGTTTAGGAATTTTATTGCCAGAGCCCAGTGGTAAAAGGCCAAGGGTTTCAGGGGGGATGTCTCTGTGGGCGGTGGGGCAAGTGGTCGAGCTGCACTTGTCGGATGCCCTAAGTGGCAACTGCTGGGAGCCCATTGAGGTGCCACTGATAGCACAATAATTTGTGCACGGCTTGCACCCGACAAGGACAAAGAAATGCAAGGTTAACTAACTACCAGCAGGCAAGTGAAATTAAAGCGAGTTAAGGCTGCTTGGCAACACCAGATGTGGGATTAGAGAGGCTGATGTCTTTGGGAATTTCAGGGAGCGACACAAAACAAACCGCACAATGAGGCCAAAGAGAAAGTGCATAAGTTTTATATACAGAAGGAGGGAATAAGTGAAAGCATCTATAATACGTATAGATTATAATATAGATTCTATATACTTGTGTAGTAGGAACGAAAAAAAGATTTAGCATTTAAAAGATTATCGGAATTTTACTATTTCAGGGTTGCACTTTTGATTTTATTTAATTTATAAGGCTTGGCAATCCACATGATAAGACATATTTAGCAATACGTTTAAACTTTATTAAACATTTTAATATTTAGTTATGTTTTAACATTAAATTTCGGCACTTTTTTTCAGTGTTTGATAAACTACAGTACATATTAGTGCTAAATTTTCGTTTGTTTTAGATTTAGAAAAGGAAGACCATACATTGACTGCACACTAAACATCAGAAAAAGGTAAAATGATAAATTAATTTAATCTGGTCGGGACTCCCTTAGTTGTCAAAAATAATATCTTGTCAGACGGCGCATTCTACAAATAACTTAGGTTTCAACTTTTCAAATAATAACTTAAAAGGAATTGAAAGGCTTTACTGAAACTGGAAAATGGCGCAGAAGGGCAGCAATATGGTCTTCTACCTGACATTGATCATAATATTCGTTTGTGGCGTCTGCATTTGGAACTACTCCGGCTTTTTCCACGAGGAAGCCAGGTTCAAAGTGATCCTGGTAACGTTTCTCTTGGTGAGCTGTCTCCAGTTCCTGGTTTTCGCGCCCATCGAGTTCGTAATTATTTCCCTGGATGCCGCCTGGTGGCCAGTGCAACAGGCTCCCGTGTTGCCCGATGAAAATGCGAAAGTTGAGACGTTTATGGAAAAACTGAGGCTGAAGTTGCGGACGTTGCGGAGTGAGCTGCTGATCACGGAAAGCCATCGCAACGAGAAGATCAACCTGAAGTACCGCCTGATAGCCGGGGAGCTCTGGCTGACGGCCAAGCTGTTCCTGATCCTCTTCGGCCTGATCATGGTCCTGAACAAGGAGCTGCTCTACTTCAACACCGCAGCCACGACGGTTCTCTTTGCCGAAGACCACGAAGAGACGTTCGGCTTCTCGAGCATGATCACACTGCGGGACCTGTTCCACTTCCTCGAGTTTTCCATGATAAGGGCCTTCACGGACGGCAGGAACACGAGTGGCGGGGCTCCGTGGATCCACGCGGAGGGCACCCGGCTGGTGGGCGTGGTCCGGTTGCGGCAGCTGCGCACGGAGAACAACCACGAGGGCCTCAACCCACCCGTCTTCACCTCGAGGGACTTCATGGAGGGCTGGACCCTACCGTACGAGCGGGTGCCCTACACGAACAAGTTCTGGTCGATCTACGGGCCGTGGGTGGCCATGGAGTCCGACTTCCGGGAGGACCTCATCATGGGCATCCGCCACAAGGGGCACTTCATCAGCTACCCGGAGACGACGGGCTACAAGGTCCTGCTCTCGGACACCCGCCGCAAGAGCCTGCTGATCCTGGACTACTTGTACGACCACCGCTGGCTGGACGAAAACACGAGTGCCGTCTTCATCGACTTCAGCCTGTACAACGCGGACGCGAACACCTTCAGCCTGTGCACGCTGTGGGTGGAGCAGTTCCCCTTCCACGGCATCGAGCCCCACATTGAGGTGGAGAGCCACGTGCTCGTGGAGCGCCTGCGCGACCTCCCCATCTTCGGCATGGTGATGCTCTTCCTCTTCGTCATTGCCTTGGTGCAGTTCGCCAAGGCGCTCATCGTCAAGATCTGGTTCGAACCGCACCTGATAAGGACCCCGTGGCTGCTGATCGACGCCCTGATCGTGGCCCTCTGCCTGTCGAACATGGTGATCCTCTGCCTCCGCGCCAACCTGATGCTGTCGATGGTGCAGAAGGTCGAGACCGCCGTGGTGGTGGAGTTCCTCGACTTCCGCGAGCCCGCGCGCCTCTCCTACTTCGCCGACGTGGTGACCGGGTTCACCGTGGCCCTGGTCACGATGCGGCTGTGGAAGGTGATGCAGTTCTCCGGCACCTTCCAGCTCTTCACCAAGACCCTCTACATGGCCTGGAAGGCGGTGCTGTGGACGTTCACCGTGTTCGCCGTGTTCATCGGGGCCATTGCCATCGCCGCAGTGACGATGAATGGCGACCACACCCGCCACTTCAGCGACCTGTTCAAGGGAGTCGTTTCGGTGACCTGCTTCGCCTTCGGCTTCGTGAACCACGTGCAGCCGACGGATCTCTTCCACGGCGGCAAGTGGATGGGCATCGTGCTGTACGCCGTGCTGGGCTTCGTGGTCAAGTTCCTGCTGATCAACCTGATCGTGTCCCTGATGAGGGACCAGATGGCCAGCGCCAAGACGAACCGCGACTACGAGGTGGTGCACCACATCTCGTTCTGGCAATTCCTTCGCGTCGAGTACGCCGACTTCATCCACTTTGTTCTCAAGCTACTGCACTTGCAAAACCGATACAAGAGCCATAATCGCACGGTGGCTGAGAATATTCAACGGAAACTGGACTTCGACCAGCGGATGGGCAAGAAGCAGAAGATGAGGCGCGAGTTTTTCAAGATGATCGAATTCCATCCGAGGGACGAGGCCCTCAATCAACTGAGGTACAGGGAGCGGATCGAACGGACCCTCAAGATATCCGCGATTCTGCAGACGCAAATGGAGCTCATCGAGAGGCTGATGTTCGGCGATGAGGATGGAAAGCTGCCGAGTTCGCGCCAGGGGGATCAATCTGAGTCGAAGACTTAGGTACTTTTAAAATGTAAAATTTACTACCCAAAATGTATTTAAATGTCTTACATTTCATTGCAAATTCAACCAATAACTGCTCTACTATGTAACTAAATCTTTTTAAATTTATGAGACATTGTTTCCAAGCTTGCTAGGTTTTTAATAACATACAAATCCTTGACAACTCACATTAGATAACAATAATTAGTGAGTAATAAAACCTTAATAAATTAGATAAAATCTGAATAATGAATTGTATGGGTGGTTAGGTACTTGCAAATTTATTTGGACAATAATTCCCATCAGCAGACTGAATACTGCAAAGGATGTGCGATTTTTGTTTATGTCATGGCTAAATAATTATGCGCAAACAGGCAAAACTTTTGACTTGAAAAGGCTTTTAGGGCAATTTGGCGCTCGCTTTGTTCGACTTGTTTGCTATCCAAGCATTCTGGCTGAGCTCCAAGTCCCAAACTAAATGACTTATATAAAATGGGGGGAGGGCCCTCCCCTTACCATTGTTATGGGGTAAGCAAATAAAAATTTAATACTGCAAGCTTTTAGGCCGAGCCGTGAGTGCAAAACTATTTTCTGCGAAACCCGAGCTAACTGCTAACGCTAAAAAGGACTTAACAAACATTGTCGAGCATATCCTGTAAACTAAACAATTGTCAAAAGTTTTGTGTCCCTTTTCTATCAACCCACAGACAGATAGTCTGGCAAGTGTTTTTCTATACATTTTTTGTGGTCCTTATGTCACTCGGGGGGATTGGGGAAAACTTTTATAATTATTAGCAACAAATGAGCAGTGACAGAGCGCTTCTGCCGTGCCTGTAACTTTGCTGTTTTCCCCGAATTTCCCGCTCTCCCAGCTTTTCCGCTTCTGGCTTTTACTCGCAGCGCCCAGACGGCAGAAATCACAAATGATCCCCGCCCTCAATTTAAAAGTTTTAACTACCTGACTGTTTCTCCATTTCACTGTGTGTGTGTGTAAGAGTTGTGTGTGTGCGAGAGTGTGTGTGTTAGCTGAAGACAAACGGTAGAAGAAAGAGTGGCCAAATCAAGGGCCGTGCGGAGTTTTTCTGTGTCTATGCGAGCGTGCGAGGGAGTTAGCCTAAAAGTTTTAATTTTTGATCGCTTTTTGTATGGAACCACAATCAGCAACTAAAAGTATGCATTACTTTTGCTCTCCGGAAAAGGCAGTCAGCCCCAAAAGCTGGAAGCTAAGACACAATTTGGGAAGTTAACTTTTTTCGAAAGAAAACAGTTTTGTTTTTAAAAATTTTTTTAGCGTGCACTGCCTTTGCAGCTCATAGAAGCTCTATTAACAAGTGGTTTAGATTTTCCAATATTTAATAAGTTACAGCACATTTCGGGTTGACCTTTTGGGATAAATCAACAATAAGCTCACAGGGCACAATTCAACCAAGCACCTGGGATTCATTTATAGAACTACGCAAATTTTAGCAGTCCTGTTCTTCTTCAACAAAAAAAGGATATTTTCAGACACAGAATCTAATAATTCTGTGAAGGGTTTTTGCGTATTTTTCTTCTCTTAGTTAAATAGAAAGCAGACCAAATCATCAAAAAATCAACTAAACTTAAAATACCAAATACTTTTCAACACTGAAAGGGTTGCTTAACACTCTAGATAAATTGACGTCTGTGAAATCAGTGCGAAATAATTTATGCTCGAAATGCCACGTCCACCGAAAATAAAAAAAAATCATCCACCAAAGTGGCAAAAAGAATCGCCAGCCATCTCTGATATATCTTCTTCAGATCCCGAAATGGACGAGGAGTATGCTAATAATTTGATTAGGAAAGCATCTGAAAAAGGTGAAAAACAGTATAAGTTGGAGACCCAGAAGAAGGAGCCTTTTTCAAGCCAAGACTATGTGAAAAGGAAGTCCAAAAAGAAAAAGAAGAAGAAACAGAGGGATTCTGAGGCGAAGAAGAAAAAGAAAAAATATGAGACTGTCGTTAATACATCTTTTCCAAGGTAAGTCTCTGTTGATAAAATGTAAAGTTATTAAATACTTGGTTCTTATATTTAGCCCTTATAACCCGTTTGAAGTTTTTGAAGTCAAGAAACCCGCAGAGACTAACACTTCTTTTTCACCACTTTCATCCTGGTAAGGCAAAGAATAGGAAATTAGTTGGTTAAATTCATACTGTAATAACATTATAGTGAGCCAATTCTAAAGCCGCCCGCCGCAGCTTATTGCGTTTGTGATGTCGTTCTCAATTTCGGAGGAGAGGGGAGTTCCGAGCCAATGCACGTGGACGCAGGGCCACAACAGAGCTCGTCCAGGTTGATCAAGCCCGGACGGTTGCCCACCAAATACAAGGAGAAACCTCTGCCAAAACATCGAAAGACGTTACCAAAAGGCACTTTTGAAAAGGAGCTGCCAGTGTTGGAGGCATCGTGGCTAACCGACCGCCATTTCCAACCCATAACACCCATTAAAGAAAACTTCGTTGACCAGTTACCCATTAATCTGCCATCATCGGAGGACATTTGGAATAGTTACAGGGACGTGAAGAACGGTTTGGTGCGGAGCTCAGAGGCAGAGTGGCCCCTGTGTTGCGTGGCAGGCCGGCAGTTCAGTCCTTCACCTCAGAAGATACTGGAGACCCAGAAGGTCAGGAAAGAGGTTGGACCTGAAGAAAATACTATTTCTGAGGACCTTTTCAATTGGGAAACGCACAAAAAGGTTGAAAAGGAAGCCCAACAGCACCGCAATTGGCAAGATGAGGACTTGGCCTTCGAGCACATGACTATCGGCGTTGAGGAAGAACGCGCCATCAAGGATTGGATCAAGTCGGAGCTACTCAGTGAACCTTTAAGTGATATAGAGGAGTTTGACATGCTGCTTAGGTTAGCTGGGGATTATGCGCAGAATCGGGACATCCTGTTTGAGTTATTAAAGCCCAAAAACATAGCTGGCAACCAGGTGAAGGAGCCACGAAAAAGGTTTCCTCTTGTTTCGATCGATGGAGCACCTCGCAAAGCAGACGCAGCGGAGCCGCAGTCGAAGAATCCTGTGTCGGAGAATCTGAAGCCACCAGTCGAGGGAGTTCCAGCGGTGGAAGTACCCAACCCCAAAAAGGGGGCAGCGCCAGCAAAGCAAGTTCCCCCAAAGGAGCTTAGACCAGAACAACCCGTAATTCTCGATGTTAAAGAGATTGTGCCACCGAAGCCCGCGGACGCCAAAGGCGAACTTGATTGGCTGCAGCAGTGCAGCTGCACTATTGCCAAGCAACTGGAGCTCATACTCCAAGAGCCTTATGGAAGTGACGAGGAATTAGAAACTAACGAACCGGTAGCCATTGATTTCGAGAACGAGATCAAAAAGGAGCAGATGAAGCCGCGCACCGCGGGAGCAGGTAGCCAGGAGGCCTCCGCGGATAACGGATTCCAGAAGAGCTTCAAGACCCGCCTCGAGGACTTCGAGGACATCGTTGACCAACACATGACCCAGTACAGGGACCCGCAGGCCAAGAGACTCCGCTCCAAGTGGACCGAGCGCTACGGCTTGAAGTCGGCGGATCGCTTGCGGAGGACGCTCGAGCTTGCGCCCTTGCCTGTGCCCCTGGATCATTGCCTGCAGAAGATCCGGATCCTGAGACGTCCCGCCAAACGCAAGCTCGAGGGGTTGCGCCTGCGCATCGAGATGTCCTTCTGCCAATTGTTCTGCACCCTGCAGCTGAACAAGAATTTATCTCTAAAGGACGCGGTGAACAACCTAGATGACGGGGCTTGGCGCGTCGAGATAGATGTGATCCAAAAGCGATACGAGGGAAGGCTGGTGTCCTGGGTTTGGGCCAATGGCACTATCCTGATTTTGAACGGAAAGAGTCATGCAATGCTGGCCGAAGCCCAAAAGGACCTGATGAACAAGATGTTCGGGCGAGTGAACTTCAAGGCGTCTCCCTCCCACAAGCTCCTGCACCTGCGGCTTTTCTCCCACGCCCACTTTCCCTGGAAGATTGACCTGGAGAAGTTTAGCAGGGACTGCGCCTACTTTTACAAACCTCTCCCCGGAGAGGTTGTCTTCGTGTACTACGTGGAAAAGTCACTGCCCGGAGTCGCAGCTCGGGTCTATGAAAGCGGAAAGGTCGAAGTGTTTGCCATGACCCCGACTTTGGCGGACAAAATGATGGAGAAACTGTATGTCCTCACGGCCCGTCATCGAAAGCCCGAAGCCAAGGCCACCTATTCGGATGCTACTCAGAACTAAAAAAAAAAGTAAAGGCTGCTAGACTCGCAAGCGATTTAAAATTATTGTTCGTTAGCAAAAGTAAATTGTATTAAATTACGGAAAACTCTTCATTTCATGATATTTTTCAGTTCAAATAATTTTTTAGAATTTCTTACATGTACTTATCTAAGAAAATCGTTTAAAAACCATTTTACATGTTAGGGGATCTTTTCAAAATTCACCTTTAAGTGTTTACCCTACAAACATTTTTTCGACTAAACTCCCTGACTTCTCTTAAAATTACTTTCGTTAAACTCTCGCGCCTTGAAATTCTCTTTAGTCCGAAAGCTTTCCCAAAAGAGAACCGCTGAATGGAAGCCAGAAGACAGAGCTTTCTCTGCGGGACAAGAGAGCAAACCGCGTCCTGCTTGGCTTTTGGGTTAAAGTTTGCACAGGGACACGAAGTTGCGTATATGTGTTAGCTATCTCTGCGAACAGGACTCGTGGCAGGATTTAATTCATAACTCGAGTGCCGTGTCCTCGGTGTACAGCCAAGGTTAAGTGCTGGTGCAGCGCCAAACACGTCAGATCTCGGGACCTGAAGTCCTGAATCCTTCGGAGCGGAGTGTGTGGGAGTGTTCCCCCGCCGCGAGGGATTCGCCTTTCCTTTTCTCTTATTTTTATGCTTCCCGCTACTTGAGCACGAATCTCCCTCCAAAAAATTAAGTTCCTCCATTTCCCAAAACTCCAAGAAGTCCTCATGAACAATTGCCTGGAAATATAATACATCGGCTCTTTCTGTGGGGTCGCTTCAGCTTCTGCGTAGCCCTAAGTCGCCGACGAAAAAGGGAACCCGTTTGATTGAAATATCTTGCTCAGTAGCGTGAATGAACCACGGGCAAATTAAGTAAATGACATTGACTCTAAAAAAACAGAAGAGCAGCCCACAATCCGGCATAATTAGACCTTGTCACGCCCAGCTAAAAAAAAATGTATGTGTATAAATGATTTGCATAAAACTCGGCTGGGGAAATTTTAAAGCCTCGCTGACCTTTGGCGTATCATTTTTTAAGCCGAAAACTCCCCACCGAACCAAAAGCATTTTAATTTACACGACACGTTTCTTGGGCTTAAGCTTTTTGCTTGAATTTAGGGGGTGGAACACCTACAACGGTGCGATGGCCATAAATAAAAAACAAAAGCAGTGCAAGAAATATTGAGGCAATCAAAAATGCAAATGTCACTACGTGAATTGTTAAATCGCAGGACAAATCCCTTCTTCAAAACAGACCCCACGGGCTCTGATTGCCGACTGGGTCAATAAATCTGCCTGCAATTCCGGCATACATTAATTCATACTTACGTATATATTCCGCTTTATTTATCGCAAAAAGTTAATTGCCTGGCCGTGCTCTCTATTAATCATATTCCATAATTTGTTTAGCCTAATTAGCCATATAGATAGGCGAATGGTGGGTGGAACCTGCCCCTAGTTCTCATCTCTTCGTGAGCCAAAAGATGGGTCTGGGCTCTGGATCATTAGCCAAGTCGCAAAGAGTTTCGAAAGAATTTTCTTAAAGGGCGAGTCAAGATGGAAATTCAGTGCAAGCCGCGATACTAAGTTTACTTGTTTAGTAAGTATAGCAAATACAAATTGAGCCCCTATTAAAAATACTTAAATGAAGTACTTAAAATACTTAAAATGAAATAAATAGTGAAAAAACTTACTATATGTGCTTTATTTTTAAGCACCTCAAATACTTTCTTATACTTTCAGTTTTTAATTAATATTATTTAACAAATGCATACTGTTTTAGGGACTCTTCAAATTAATAAGCGATGTTCATAAATGTATGCCGCGATACTTAAACGCTCTTTTTACACATTGTTAACCCGGGTAATTCAGATCCATAACCAAATTAAAGGAAAACAAGAAAATAATCTTAGCAAACATTGGGCGTCTCTTGTACAGTGTTTCGTCGCATCCTGCATCACATTCCTTGTTGCAGACAAGTCAAACATTAAGCGAAATGTCGCCTGGCCATTATTCAACCATTTTGCGCCTTGTCGGCAAACAAAATTAACAGCCAGCAGAAAACATCTACCAGCAAACAAACAGCAGAAGAGAGCGGAAACGAGCATAAACAAGTCATAAAGTTTGGTAACTAGGCTCTGCTCCTTTGGATGCAGGGCAGCAAATTTTTGAATCTGTGCCCTGTTCTGTCGCAGAAACTTCATCTTGACTCGGGCATATTCATATTTAAATACCCTTTCGATCAAAATGCCTATTAAAACCCCTTAAAGTGGGAATAAACAACACACCTGTAAGGTTTTTAATCAAAACAATATTAAAAATAACACTCTTACTAATACGTCTCAAAAACTTTATAATTCTTTTCGAAACACACGTTTGCACAAGCTTTTGGGGTTATTTTGGCAGACATCTTGGACTACAAATAATACATAGTACACTCGTTTTACGCAATAACCAGTTTCTTTTGCTGAAATCAAAGATATGTTAATTTTGTTCTTTAACTTAGATTAAATAAAACATCTGTTTTAAAAATAATAAATTAACTATTTATTTAAAGCATACACTATTTTAAAGTAAGTTAGTAAAGAATAGATTAATTATTTTGTTTATATCTAACTTAGAGAGAACGTGGGTATTCGGTTCAAAGACTTTTTAAACACACCGTGTTCACATGCGCGCGCTTTTTTAATGCAAAACCCGTGTAGAGTTGGGAGATTTCTCGCCATAACCCCTCCCCGATTTGCACAGTCGACGTTGTGTACAATTTTGCTTGTTTTTGCCATTAACAGCAATTACAAAATGGCAAACAAAAACGCAGCCGACAAAAAAAGGGGCGTGGACGTTGGGCAAGGGCGAACTTTTAATTATTTAGACGAGAGAACGCAAAAGTCGCGTTTATACTTTTTTTTACATTTTTGTAAATATTTTTTGTCGGTTGCGCTTGCAGATTTTTCGGTTGGGGCGTGGCTTTCACCTGAGAAGTAAACTTAATTATGCACCAAGTTTGCTTCTTTCCGTTTTTTGTAATCAGAAGTTGTAACTAATCAAATTAAAGGCAACCCATACAAGGCAAGTTCGCTCAGGAAAAAAGGGAGCGCCAATGCGCAAATCCTTGAGGATGTTGGGGATTTAGAGCCCTGTGGCAGGCGATAACACACGCCGGGATTTTTTTCCGGCTCATCCTTTGGTTCTAGGCAGCTGCCAAGAAATTGCCATCTTCTATCTAAACGCGCGAACGCAAAAATGGCTATTTAAATTGTGCATCAATGCATGAAATGCGCCATGAAAGCGTTTTAGATAAGCGGAAAGCCAAAACTAACAAATTTTCATGGGGCCAAAAACAGAATGGGCGTTGGAGCACTCAAAAAAAAAATGTTAACATAAGCCTCACATCAGTTTTGATTTTTATTTTTGCCACGCAGAGCTTTTGAGTAAACTAAATCTTAATTGAGCGTTAACTAAAATGCATTTAATAATGTTATGAATAATATATTTTCTTAAGTTATAGTCTCCAGAATTTAATTCATTGAAATTGTTAATTTATTCAAATTAAAAATTATGAACGCAGATAAATTTTATGTTTATATTCACAAGCAGATTGGTTTCGTATCAACGCTTCTAGCAAACTATTCTCGGGCCTTCGAGCTGTTTGCTTGACATTTTTTTAAGGTTACAAAATAAATAGATATCTGTTGTTTTGATTGTCTGGTTAGCTTTTCCCAAAAATTTGTGGGCTTCTCAAATGCTAAAAAAGAAAACCCTTGAAATTACATATAAATAAGAAACTTTCGTTATATATTATGTTTCTGTATTTAGTCGTATGCGATCACAGTTAAATATTTTAGATAACAAGTGGCGCTGCAGCATAGCTCAGGGGAGCAGTGTAAGCCAGGGGGGAGGAGTAGGCCAAAGGAGCCGCCAAAGGAGCAGCTGCGTACTTGGCAATCACTGGAGCAGCCAGAGGAGCAGCTGCGTACTTGGCAATCACTGGAGCAGCCAGAGGAGCAGCCAATGGAGCAGCCACAGGAGCAATCACTGGGGCAGCAGCGATCCCATTGTAGTTCCTGGCGATCACCTGGCTGCTGGTGGCGGTCACAACTGGAGCGGGAGCAGCTACCACAGCAGCTGGAGCGGAGTAAGCCAGAGGAGCGGTGTAGGCCAGAGGAGCACTCAGGAGTCCTGGCTTGGCAGCAGCGCAGGAAACGACGGCCAGGATGACAACAGCCTGCGAATTGAAATTCGGTTAGAAACAGGGTATAAATTTGTGGAATGCTAACTCACGAGCTTGAACATTTTGTTAGTTTGTTGGGTGGGTTGCTTGCAGTTCGAAAGCATGAACTTGTCTGATGTCGATCAACACTTTCCCTGTCGCTATTTATACCCCAATCGAAGCTGCTACTGTGACCTCTGGGCCACAATTCCGTGGCCACCTACAGTTATTCCACATTCAGCAGTGGGAAATCACATAAAGTATGGTAAAGTGCAAATGGTAACTACAGACTGTCGCAGCATTTAAATGAACTGAATGCGAACGATCATGAGTCAGAGCGGAGCACTCTTTTGGGTATAAATATGTTCGAGCAGGGCAGTTGGACATCAAACCACCTCCAGCCTTCCCAAGAAGCAAAACAAACCAAACACCCACCATGTTCAAATACGTAAGATTGAAGATCTTAATAAGGCTTTTTGAAGAACTGTGTTAATCAGTGAAATACTCTATATTTACAGGCCGTCGTTGTCCTCGCCTTCGTTGCCTGTGCTGCCGCCAAGCCAGGACTCCTGGGTGCTCCTCTGGCCTACACCGCTCCTCTGGCTTACACCGCTCCCGCTGCCGTGGTAGCTGCCCCCGCTCCAGTTGTGACTGCCACCAGCAGCCAGGTGATCGCCAGGAACTACAATGGGATCGCTGCCGCACCAGTGATTGCTCCTGTGGCTGCTCCTCTGGCTGCTCCTGTGGTTGCCAAGTATGCAGCTGCTCCTCTTGCCACTCCTCTGGCAGCCCCTCTGGCGGCTCCTTTGGCCTACTCCTCCCCCCTGGCTTACACTGCTCCCCTGAGCTATGCCGCTGCTCACGCACCACTCCTCATCTAAATCGTTAAACTGTGATCACCTAGTAAAATAAAAAAATTTAAAAATCGGTCCTCCAAAATTAAACACATAATCACATCTCGGAAATTTATACGTTACTAAAAAGTGAAATAAGCGATTTTAACGCTACATGTCCGGCCAGATAAGGACTGTCAGTCTGGCCAAATAAACGTTAAGATCTTGGAAACTTAAACTTCTTGGAAAAGTAAAAATATTTTAATTAACCCACCCAAAAGTTACAAAATTTATGTAAAGGTTTTACAGATAAATATGCGCCTTTATTTTAGTAGGGATACAATGTTGTTACAAAAACGATCCACGACCCTTTAAATTTGTAAAAAGGGTAATAACCCAACACTTGCGACACCCTCTTGTCCGTGCGTATGAATGATTTTGGTTTTTGCCAATTTTCGACAACTAGAAATCCTAGAATTTTGGTACTTAAAGTTTGCCTACAATTACACCCACAGACAGCGGAAATTATTGGCTCACACAGCTTTTATTTTACAACAGTTTGGAAAATGCATTTGAATTCACATAAATACGCAGCGTGCCGGCATTCTATTTGTTTTAAGGAGGGTACGGTTTTAAAGGCCAAAAAAAAAAAAGGGTGTATGTGTATTTTTGCGGCGAAATAAGCAATTTAATTTTATAAAGTTTAATGATATATTATGGTTCGATTTATGAATAGTATTAGGAAAAGATTAATGAAAAATATTTAGAAATAAACCTGTGACGGTCAATCTTCAGAGGCGCCTAGGAAAAAGTTGTTTGGCGGTGAACATCATAATTCGTTAATGGATCATTTTAAAATAAATGATATGCGCTTTAAAGGTAATATATTTCTCGAGGTAATCAGGAAGAGTTTTAAAAATTTATTTTTTATCTATTTTTTGGAGCACTTGAAGTGAAAAGTGTGACTTTAGCTCAAAAAGTCGATGTTAATTTATTTTTAAAGAAAGAAAAAATTAAAAACTATAAAAACTCTTCCTGATTACCTGCGTATTTATGTGGAGAATTTGTGTTAAACATTTGAAAACGATCGGTTCAGTAGATTTTGAGTTCTGATGTTCATCGACTTTTAAAATTACGTTTTTGGGAAAATCGATTTAAAGTATTTTTATACGTCAAAATACGTAAAAAAAATTTTTAAACCTAACGCCTGTCCTTAACGTTGATATTTTTTTAAAATTATTATATTTTATGGGAATAAACGTAGAAATTATAGTGATGAATACTCGTATGTAGCAAAAAAGTTATAATAACAGTGCAAGGCTCACTTTAAGAACACAATTCTTCAAGTCCATGGCAACCATCGTTTTAAATACACTGAATTTTGGTTCGATAATTTCGATTTGGTAACAAATAAGCAACGAATTCTATATTTAAAAGTTGTCATGCCTTTTGTAATGGTTTTTCTGAGAATCGCGTATCTGAAAGAAGAAGCACTCCATATCGCTCCTTGTTATTTTGTATTAACATGTTTAGTTTAATTGACTATATAGCTTTGGTATATAAAGACATGTCCGTTAAAATCTGAGAACATAAATTTTTCCCTTACAATAATTTATAATCGAGATGTACAATTTTTTTTTAAATATTTTGTATATGCAACAATTATAAAATTGTGGTCATAAAAAAATTAAAAATTAATACAAACATTAAAATTTTTTTCTCAATTTCAATCCGAAGCATAATTGTACCATACAGTACATAAATATAAGGGCTGTATGCAAAATAAATCCAATTTTTCGCAGTTCAAAAGCCGTTTTGTTCGACGATGTTCATATGACAATTTTGTATAGTTTTTCGATTTTTATGAAATTATTTTCTTGATTTAGGGTTTTTTTTTTTTTAAACTCTATATTTAAAAAGTCATGCTCATGGGATAAAAATCAACGATGTTATAGTTTGTTTGCCATGATTTATATATATACTATTTCTTTTTTCGATCTTTGCTTTGCCAGCTATATAAAGAGTTATCCGATTTTGATACAATTTAATCCGGAATTCAATAGTATTTAGAAAACGCCATCTGGACGAAATCAAATCGATATGATCAAAAACAACAGAGTGATAATTTTTTTTTTATCTATTGTATGGGAGCTATCCGATATAGTCGCCCGATCCGTCCCGTTCCAGCTTATTACTGCGTGCAATAATTACACAACTTTTGGTAATGTTTCAGCAAGACAGCATTAAAACTGAGAGACAAGTTTGCGTAGAAACTACAGACGGACAGACGTATTTCGATTCAGATCGTGATGCTGGTCAAGAATATATATACTTTATGGGGTCTGCGGTGTCTCATTCACTGCGTTGCAAGCTTCTGACTGAAATTATAATACCCTTTGCTCTGCAAGGGTAAAAAAGTATCTTTGTAAAGAACAATATCAAGTTTATAGTGACCAATTTTGACTCAACAAATTTAAATTATTTATGTATTATTTTGAAAAGTAAAAACCCTCTGACCCTTCGTTCAATGTTACTTAACGATGATTCTCATATTATTTGCAACCTTTCTTTCACCTTATTAAGCCGACTTGCAAATTCATTTTGAAAAAAAAAACAATTTTGTAAAAAAGAATTTATTAGAATATTTAAAAGACTGTAACCCATTTCTAAATCTCAAAGATGTACATTACACATAAATACAAAATCACTCTGCCGATACCATTTACTTGTTGTGTAAATAACTTCTAATTGTAGTATTTCGAATCACATAACATAATTATTTTAAAAATAGGAAGATATTTTAAATAGGAAGATAAAGATTTAAGTTTAATTATCCGAACGTTTCAAAACTTTATTTTATAGAAGATTATTGTATTCTGTTCTGTAAATATAAAAATGTACACTTCGAGCCTCCCAAGCTTATTTAACTCGTTAAAAATTAACTCCTTCAGGACTAGACCGACAATTTTATAGAAAGTTCAAAATCAAATCTTTGTCTCCCTTACTTACTATACCTTATTTATAAGGATAAAGATAAATTCCATTCATAAAGAATGCATCAATTTCAAAGCCGTTTTTTATTGCACTAGGTGATCACAGTTTAACGATTTAGATGAGGAGTGGTGCGTGAGCAGCGGCATAGCTCAGGGGAGCAGTGTAAGCCAGGGGGGAGGAGTAGGCCAAAGGAGCCGCCAGAGGGGCTGCCAGAGGAGTGGCAAGAGGAGCAGCTGCATACTTGGCAACCACAGGAGCAGCCAGAGGAGCAGCCAGAGGAGCAGCTGCGTACTTGGCAATCACTGGAGCGGCCAATGGAGCAGCCACAGGAGCAATCACTGGTGCGGCAGCGATCCCATTGTAGTTCCTGGCGATCACCTGGCTGCTGGTGGCGGTCACAACTGGAGCGGGGGCAGCAACCACGGCAGCGGGAGCGGTGTAAGCCAGAGGAGCGGTGTAGGCCAGAGGAGCACCCAGGAGTCCTGGCTTGGCGGCAGCACAGGCAACGAAGGCGAGGACAACGACGGCCTGTAAATATAGAGTATTTCACTGATTAACACAGTTCTTCAAAAAGCCTTATTAAGATCTTCAATCTTACGTATTTGAACATGGTGGGTGTTTGGTTTGTTTTGCTTCTTGGGAAGGCTGGAGGTGGTTTGATGTCCAACTGCCCTGCTCGAACATATTTATACCCAAAAGAGTGCTCCGCTCTGACTCATGATCGTTCGCATTCAGTTCATTTAAATGCTGCGACAGTCTGTAGTTACCATTTGCACTTTACCATACTTTATGTGATTTCCCACTGCTGAATGTGGAATAACTGTAGGTGGCCACGGAATTGTGGCCCAGAGGTCACAGTAGCAGCTTCGATTGGGGTATAAATAGCGACAGGGAAAGTGTTGATCGACATCAGACAAGTTCATGCTTTCGAACTGCAAGCAACCCACCCAACAAACTAACAAAATGTTCAAGCTCGTGAGTTAGCATTCCACAAATTTATACCCTGTTTCTAACCGAATTTCAATTCGCAGGCTGTTGTCATCCTGGCCGTCGTTTCCTGCGCTGCCGCCAAGCCAGGACTTTTGGGTGCTCCTCTGGCCTACACCGCTCCTCTGGCTTACACCGCTCCAGCTGCTATGGTAGCTGCTCCCGCTCCAGTTGTGACCGCCACCAGCAGCCAGGTGATCGCCAGGAACTACAATGGGATCGCTGCTGCCCCAGTGATTGCTCCTGTGGCTGCTCCATTGGCTGCACCTCTGGCTGCTCCAGTGATTGCCAAGTACGCAGCTGCTCCTCTGGCTGCTCCCCTGGGCTATTCTTCTCCTCTGGCATACAGCTCACCCTTGGCATACAGTGCTCCAGTTCTTGTCTAAACAGCTTTAAAAAATAAATAAAATTGAACCTATCTCGAAGTGCTGCTCCTTATTTTTGGCGACTGCTAATTGGATTTCCCGTTGGCATACTAACACCGCCAAAATCCACAACCTGCTGACGGCACAGTTCGACGGTTTCCATATTCCGGTCACGAAACAGTCATAAAAATTATTGTCAGCTCAGCGGGAGCAGCTGCCGTCCAATGTTTGTTACATTAAATTGTCCGAAATTGATTTGTGTTTGAGGGCTATTTTATTTTTTAGCTATTGGAACAGAGCATTTTAATTGTGTCAAGGTTAAGAAGTGACCTGTTACCAAATCCAAGATCTCGCACTAGTAAAAAAATTATTAATTTAGTAGCCGGTTTAACAATGTGGGGCACCAGGGCCGATCAATGTGTGGAGGCCCTTTAGCAGTCAGAAATTTTTTACATTATGCAATAAGATTAAGTCTTCAATTAATCTTATTATTATTAATTGAAGACTTAATCTTATTTATTTATTATCACAATTTTAACTTAGTCATCTAATACAGAGTAGAAGAGTAGAGCAAAACATAAGTAAATTTTTTCAAATTACATCTGTATACTGTAAAAACGAACGTACTTTCGAGTTTGTATATTAAAAAGACTTACGGCATTATTCATTGGCGAAATTCTTAACAATATCATCAAAATAATCAAATGAACCAGTCGGTCTTCTTCCATGCTCAAACAAAGTCGACTTTTGATCAATTTCATTTTCGAAAACGATCTTTCACTCCTATAGTTAGCCATCATCGATTGGTACAAACGCTACACGATTTCTGCATTAAAAATTGAAAAATTTGGGGGCCCCGGGCTGCGGTCCCCCGGCCCTGCCTTTAGTCCGGTCCTGGCAAGAAGACAACTACTATATCTTTTTAAAAGAGTATATTGTGATATTGATGAACAATATTTTGGGAGTGTAAGATAAATAAATATTATTGTTTATAGTGGATCCCGATTCAAAATGCAAGTTTTTGATTGCTCTTAAAAAATGAAACAAGTATGTGATATTAAGTGATGGAGACGCTGTCGACGATAAAAAAAACAAGTCTTGGTTTCTTAGAGTGTTGGTTTTATGCTCAGATAAGATATAAAAAAGTTAAAATATATTTTGTACTAAACAACATAATCTTAATATATATTAACATATTAAGCAAAAATGTTAGTATTTTAGCCATCGGCAGTATAAAAGGATTTAAAATTCGGACAGTAAATTAAGATTTTCTTGCTTATTTTTTTTTAAAGAATTGATAAATGTCGAGCTACAGCAAGAATATTTAAGAAAGTCGAAGTTGTGATGATTTTTCTTAACTTTAAATTTTCTATTTTTTACTCATCATTATTTATTTACTTATCATCCTTGTAAAATTAAAAACAAAAACGAAATAATTTGTTTCCTTTATTTGTTCTAGCTTGTCTATAGAAGCAATAATTTCCTACTTTTATACTAATTTCAATTGACTCTTGTAATTTAAATGAAATTTTATGGAATTGGAAAACAACATCATACACCTATCAAAGGGTTAATCGTTGAATTTATAGAAAATTAAAATTTATTAAGCAATTCGTTCGGACATATTAATATTAAAAAGTTATTAAAAAGTTATTTCAATAAATCTCGAAATACTGTATCGTATAGCTGCCAAAGAAATGAGAAAATTAATAGAAATTTTTTTAATAGAAAATCAATCACAAACTATAGTACACTTTATAACTGACATTGTAAGGATCTAACTAACAATAAGAAACAATAGGAAAAATTCTTCTTACTACAAATTTGTGTTGTCTGCAATGTGGGGTGTATATATGCTTCGGTCAGCCGACGCTAGCTTCCTTTTTTGTTTTTATACCCTTGCTGAGGGTATTATAATTTTAGTCAGAAGTTTGCAACGCAGTGAAGGTGACACCTATAAGTATATATTTTAAAGTATATATTTTCTTGATCAGCGTCAGGATCTGAATCGAAATACGTCTGTACGTCTGTCCGTTTGTTGTAAACTAGTCTCTCATTTTTCAAACTATTTTGCTAAAAAATTGGCAAACGTTGTGCAGTTATGGGACCCAGTATATAAGTCGGAACACTTTAGAAATACCAAAAAAATTAAAAATGAAAGATTTTGAACTGTGATAGGGACGTTCACTTTGCGAAAGAGATGCCTTCCGAAAAGTCCCCACTGACTGAAAGTGGGAATTATGGTAAAAAGTTGACGAAAACGGCAGAAAAAAAAATATAAGCAGAGTTGATCTATTATTTATTAAATTGATCAGTTTTGGGTTATAAATTATACTAAAACTCCGCTTATAATATTTTTTAATGAGAAGGCATAAATAATTTCAACGAAGAACAAATGCCATAGCAAACATTCATTGATAATGAAATAGTTTTAAATAAGTTAAATGTATTTTCCCGACATGTTATTTTTCTTGCCAATGTAAGAACATTTTGTTAGAACTTATAAATTTATTTTTCTGTTTTGCTTAATAAAAAGCTTATAATCTACAAAATGAAGTAGTAAGCTGAAGTTAAGTTTATTTAGTTAGTTCAAGTTTAGGGGTAAATTCCACCTGAAGGTCGCAATTGGCATTGGCATTAATCTACAAATTTTGTATCTTAGTAACAGGGTGTCCATGCAGTCGACTCTATCTTGTTTTGAATGTCGTAATAAGCCGAGAACAAGGCGGTATAGTTTCAAAAACAAATATTTTTGTAAAACATTTGGTTTTCCAGTACATAAAAAATATATTACCTTACACTTTAGTTTAATTGACTTAGTTGTTAAAGCAAAGGCAATTTTTTTGCAAATTTTTTCTATGTGATTTTATTTATTTTTTAAAGCTGTTTAGACAAGAACTGGAGCACTGTATGCCAAAGGTGAGCTGTATGCCAGAGGAGAAGAATACGCCAGGGGAGCAGCCAGAGGAGCAGCTGTGTACTTGGCAATCACTGGAGCGGCCAATGGAGCAGCCAATGGAGCAGCCACAGGAGCAATCACTGGGGCAGCAGCGATCCCATTGTAGTTCCTGGCGATCACCTGGCTGCTGGTGGCGGTCACAACTGGAGCGGGAGCAGCTACCACAGCAGCTGGAGCGGAGTAAGCCAGAGGAGCGGTGTAGGCCAGAGGAGCACTCAGGAGTCCTGGCTTGGCAGCAGCGCAGGAAACAACGGCCAGGATGACAACAGCCTGCGAATTGAAATTCGGTTAGAAACAGGGTATAAATTTGTGGAATGCTAACTCACGAGCTTGAACATTTTGTTAGTTTGTTGGGTGGGTTGCTTGCAGTTCGAAAGCATGAACTTGTCTGATGTCGATCAACACTTTCCCTGTCGCTATTTATACCCCAATCGAAGCTGCTACTGTGACCTCTGGGCCACAATTCCGTGGCCACCTACAGTTATTCCACATTCAGCAGTGGGAAATCACATAAAGTATGGTAAAGTGCAAATGGTAACTACAGACTGTCGCAGCATTTAAATGAACTGAATGCGAACGATCATGAGTCAGAGCGGAGCACTCTTTTTGGGTATAAATATGTTCGAGCAGGGCAGTTGGACATCAAACCACCTCCAGCCTTCCCAAGAAGCAAAACAAACCAAACACCCACCATGTTCAAATACGTAAGATTGAAGATCTTAATAAGGCTTTTTGAAGAACTGTGTTAATCAGTGAAATACTCTATATTTACAGGCCGTCGTTGTCCTCGCCTTCGTTGCCTGTGCTGCCGCCAAGCCAGGACTCCTGGGTGCTCCTCTGGCCTACACCGCTCCTCTGGCTTACACCGCTCCCGCTGCCGTGGTTGCTGCCCCCGCTCCAGTTGTGACCGCCACCAGCAGCCAGGTGATCGCCAGGAACTACAATGGGATCGCTGCCGCACCAGTGATTGCTCCTGTGGCTGCTCCATTGGCCGCTCCAGTGATTGCCAAGTACGCAGCTGCTCCTCTGGCTGCTCCTCTGGCTGCTCCTGTGGTTGCCAAGTATGCAGCTGCTCCTCTTGCCACTCCTCTGGCAGCCCCTCTGGCGGCTCCTTTGGCCTACTCCTCCCCCTGGCTTACACTGCTCCCCTGAGCTATGCCGCTGCTCACGCACCACTCCTCATCTAAATCGTTAAACTGTGATCACCTAGTGCAATAAAAAACGGCTTTGAAATTGATGCATTCTTTATGAATGGAATTTATCTTTATCCTTATAAATAAGGTATAGTAAGTAAGGGAGACAAAGATTTGATTTTGAACTTTCTATAAAATTGTCGGTCTAGTCCTGAAGGAGTTAATTTTTAACGAGTTAAATAAGCTTGGGAGGCTCGAAGTGTACATTTTTATATTTACAGAACAGAATACAATAATCTTCTATAAAATAAAGTTTTGAAACGTTCGGATAATTAAACTTAAATCTTTATCTTCCTATTTAAAATATCTTCCTATTTTTAAAATAATTATGTTATGTGATTCGAAATACTACAATTAGAAGTTATTTACACAACAAGTAAATGGTATCGGCAGAGTGATTTTGTATTTATGTGTAATGTACATCTTTGAGATTTAGAAATGGGTTACAGTCTTTTAAATATTCTAATAAATTCTTTTTTACAAAATTGTTTTTTTTTTCAAAATGAATTTGCAAGTCGGCTTAATAAGGTGAAAGAAAGGTTGCAAATAATATGAGAATCATCGTTAAGTAACATTGAACGAAGGGTCAGAGGGTTTTTACTTTTCAAAATAATACATAAATAATTTAAATTTGTTGAGTCAAAATTGGTCACTATAAACTTGATATTGTTCTTTACAAAGATACTTTTTTACCCTTGCAGAGCAAAGGGTATTATAATTTCAGTCAGAAGCTTGCAACGCAGTGAATGAGACACCGCAGACCCCATAAAGTATATATATTCTTGACCAGCATCACGATCTGAATCGAAATACGTCTGTCCGTCTGTAGTTTCTACGCAAACTTGTCTCTCAGTTTTAATGCTGTCTTGCTGAAACATTACCAAAAGTTGTGTAATTATTGCACGCAGTAATAAGCTGGAACGGGACGGATCGGGCGACTATATCGGATAGCTCCCATACAATAGATAAAAAAAAAATTATCACTCTGTTGTTTTTGATCATATCGATTTGATTTCGTCCAGATGGCGTTTTCTAAATACTATTGAATTCCGGATTAAATTGTATCAAAATCGGATAACTCTTTATATAGCTGGCAAAGCAAAGATCGAAAAAAGAAATAGTATATATATAAATCATGGCAAACAAACTATAACATCGTTGATTTTTATCCCATGAGCATGACTTTTTAAATATAGAGTTTAAAAAAAAAAAACCCTAAATCAAGAAAATAATTTCATAAAAATCGAAAAACTATACAAAATTGTCATATGAACATCGTCGAACAAAACGGCTTTTGAACTGCGAAAAATTGGATTTATTTTGCATACAGCCCTTATATTTATGTACTGTATGGTACAATTATGCTTCGGATTGAAATTGAGAAAAAAATTTTAATGTTTGTATTAATTTTTAATTTTTTTATGACCACAATTTTATAATTGTTGCATATACAAAATATTTAAAAAAAATTGTACATCTCGATTATAAATTATTGTAAGGGAAAAATTTATGTTCTCAGATTTTAACGGACATGTCTTTATATACCAAAGCTATATAGTCAATTAAACTAAACATGTTAATACAAAATAACAAGGAGCGATATGGAGTGCTTCTTCTTTCAGATACGCGATTCTCAGAAAAACCATTACAAAAGGCATGACAACTTTTAAATATAGAATTCGTTGCTTATTTGTTACCAAATCGAAATTATCGAACCAAAATTCAGTGTATTTAAAACGATGGTTGCCATGGACTTGAAGAATTGTGTTCTTAAAGTGAGCCTTGCACTGTTATTATAACTTTTTTGCTACATACGAGTATTCATCACTATAATTTCTACGTTTATTCCCATAAAATATAATAATTTAAAAAAAATATCAACGTTAAGGACAGGCGTTAGGTTTAAAATTTTTTTACGTATTTTGACGTATAAAAATACTTTAAATCGATTTTCCCAAAAACGTAATTTTAAAAGTCGATGAACATCAGAACTCAAAATCTACTGAACCGATCGTTTTCAAATGTTTAACACAAATTCTCCACATAAATACGCAGGTAATCAGGAAGAGTTTTTATAGTTTTTAATTTTTTCTTTCTTTAAAAATAAATTAACATCGACTTTTTGAGCTAAAGTCACACTTTTCACTTCAAGTGCTCCAAAAAATAGATAAAAAATAAATTTTTAAAACTCTTCCTGATTACCTCGAGAAATATATTACCTTTAAAGCGCATATCATTTATTTTAAGATGATCCATTAACGAATTATGATGTTCACCGCCAAACAACTTTTTCCTAGGCGCCTCTGAAGATTGACCGTCACAGGTTTATTTCTAAATATTTTTCATTAATCTTTTCCTAATACTATTCATAAATCGAACCATAATATATCATTAAACTTTATAAAATTAAATTGCTTATTTCGCCGCAAAAATACACATACACCCTTTTTTTTTTTGGCCTTTAAAACCGTACCCCCTTAAAACAAATAGAATGCCGGCACGCTGCGTATTTATGTGAATTCAAATGCATTTTCCAAACTGTTGCAAAATAAAAGCTGTGTGAGCCAATGATTTCCGCTGTCTGTGGGTGTAAGTGTAGGCAAACATCAAGTACCAAAATTTTAGGTTTTCTAGTTGTCGAAAATTTATTTGGTGTTTTGCCGGCTCAAGGTCTGGGTGATACTAATTGGCAAAAAGTCTTTTTTACCCAAAAACCAAAAACATTCATACGCACGGACAAGCGGGTCTCTCTTTGACCATTTACATATCTTTCAAGAAATACAGTATGATTGGGTTATTACCCTGTTTACAAATTTAAAGGGTCGTGGAGCATTTTTGTAACCGCCGTCAACATTGTATCCCTACTAAAATCGCTTATTTCACTTTTTAGTAACTAATAAATTTTCGAGATGTGATTATGTGATTAATTTTGGAGGACCAATTTTTAAATTTTTTTTTATTTTACTAGATGATCACAGTTTAACGATTTAGATGAGGAGTGGTGCGTGAGCAGCGGCATAGCTCAGGGGAGCAGTGTAAGCCAGGGGGGAGGAGTAGGCCAAAGGAGCCGCCAGAGGGGCTGCCAGAGGAGTGGCAAGAGGAGCAGCTGCATACTTGGCAACCACAGGAGCAGCCAGAGGAGCAGCCAGAGGAGCAGCTGCGTACTTGGCAATCACAGGAGCAGCCAGAGGAGCAGCCACAGGAGCAATCACTGGGGCAGCAGCGATCCCATTGTAGTTCCTGGCGATCACCTGGCTGCTGGTGGCGGTCACAACTGGAGCGGGGGCAGCAACCACGGCAGCGGGAGCGGTGTAAGCCAGAGGAGCGGTGTAGGCCAGAGGAGCACCCAGGAGTCCTGGCTTGGCGGCAGCACAGGCAACGAAGGCGAGGACAACGACGGCCTGTAAATATAGAGTATTTCACTGATTAACACAGTTCTTCAAAAAGCCTTATTAAGATCTTCAATCTTACGTATTTGAACATGGTGGGTGTTTGGTTTGTTTTGCTTCTTGGGAAGGCTGGAGGTGGTTTGATGTCCAACTGCCCTGCTCGAACATATTTATACCCAAAAAGAGTGCTCCGCTCTGACTCATGATCGTTCGCATTCAGTTCATTTAAATGCTGCGACAGTCTGTAGTTACCATTTGCACTTTACCATACTTTATGTGATTTCCCACTGCTGAATGTGGAATAACTGTAGGTGGCCACGGAATTGTGGCCCAGAGGTCACAGTAGCAGCTTCGATTGGGGTATAAATAGCGACAGGGAAAGTGTTGATCGACATCAGACAAGTTCATGCTTTCGAACTGCAAGCAACCCACCCAACAAACTAACAAAATGTTCAAGCTCGTGAGTTAGCATTCTACAAATTTATACCCTATTTCTAACCGAATTTCAATCCCCAGGCTGTTGTCATCCTGGCCGTCGTGTCCTGCGCTGCTGCCAAGCCAGGACTCCTGGGTGCTCCTCTGGCCTACACCGCTCCTCTGGCTTACACCGCTCCCGCTGCCGTGGTTGCTGCCCCCGCTCCAGTTGTGACCGCCACCAGCAGCCAGGTGATCGCCAGGAACTACAATGGGATCGCTGCTGCCCCAGTGATTGCTCCTGTGGCTGCTCCTCTGGCTGCTCCTGTGATTGCCAAGTACGCAGCTGCTCCTCTGGCTGCTCCCCTGGCCTATTCCTCCCCGCTGGCTTACACGTCCCCGCTAGCTTACAACACAGTTCCAGCTGCAGCGCCAGTTCTCCTGTAAGAAGTTGACTGATCCATAAAAATATTACAATTAAAAGACAAAACAAAGAATCACATGGGTTTCGGTGGGAAGTGGCGGGCAGTTTAATTGATTTAGCCACTGTCAGCGGTTCGTGGCCATAAACAACTGTTATTGGTACTCCGCTGCCTGTTTCCAGAAGCAGCTCACGTAGCCAAGGGACAAGTTATTGGCCACCGGCAGCCGTTGCTGGATGCGTGACATTTAAGTGTGGTCAAAATGGTTTGTTTTGAAGTTGTTGTGCTGTAAAAAATATGTAATTATGTCAAGGTCGCAGTCGAGGCTAAGCGAATGAACTTTTTCAGGGCCAGCTTAATTGTATGGCTTTAATAAAGTCATTTTTATGTTTAAGAAGTGAAAAATTAGAATAACTTACTAATTAAATACTTTTATATTTTTTCCGATGTTAAATTTTTTTGTGCATAAAGTTCTTTTAAAATGACTTTGCAAGTCATCACAGACTATTTGCCATTTTTGAACACATTTTTACAGAAATCAGTTGAATGCAATTTTTTAACCGAATTTGTTAAATATTTATTTCTCAGTTACACTGAAATTTGTTAAAAATACAAAACTAATACGAAATGAAGCTGACTTTGTCGTGCGAAAGCTTATATAGAATTATAATTACAAGGATATGAATCGACTTGTGTTATCCCAAATTTATGGTAAGGTTATTTTTTCCGATCCGCATAATAGGTATTTCTTCTGTGTGTATGTAGGCTTCTTGGGAGCTATACGAAAAAGAACTCCAATCCTTAAAAAAACTGATCATTTTCAAGATAAAATAAGTTTTATTTAAAAATGAGAGCAGTATCGAAGTTATAATGATTTGCAATCGATTCTATAGCTATATTACCTGTGGGATACCAAACAAAGACCTTTTAGTTTTGGGGCTGCATGATAAAGTTGTATGATCCTGGCCATTCCCCTATATATGCTACCTGCAATAAAATAGTTATAACACCATCTGCAAAAGTATAAAAATAAATGTTTTCAAATTCAAATTCACGTAGAGTAAAAGTACGATGGAAGCAATTGCGACCTCATAAAGTTTTATACTCTGTATCAGGATCATCAGACATCAGACATCAGTATAAAAGCTAGAATATTGGGGTTAAAAATTTAAATTCTTGTTCTTCGTACGCAGCGCAGATTTGTTAAATACTTTCTCTTTCCCGACAAAAAAATGATGTATAAAAACATTAATAGGTGAAGTTTTAAACTTAATGATAACTAATAACTCAATATGCTGGCATTACAACCTTTTAAGACTTTAAGAACTATTCAGCCAAATCCTATTAGGTTTAACAACTGAAAAAATGTATTTATTATGTTTTTAAGGTTTCATCTTAAAAAAGTAAAAGCTAATAAAAGTTTCTTGGGGTTTTTTCCGAATTCGATTTATTTTTATGGTACACTCAAAAGAGAACGTGACGGCCCGCCAAAGAATTATCATTCAAAGTGGACACCACCGGCTAACTGTAATAAGTGTGCCACTATAATATAGAAAACTTAAACACGTCCAAAAGTATAATGTGATGTGTTAAATTAAGTTAAAAATGAAGCAACTTCAAGGTTCCACGGAACTCTATCCAAAATGAATGGAAAACGAAAAAGCGTCTTAAAAAAGATTTATTGGTCGAAAAAGAATTCTAAATCTGACCTAATATTAATAATATAGGTAATGTAAAATAATATTATTTCTATTAATTTTAATATAACAAGTAATGGAACAACCATTTTTTTAAGTTTTAAGCTTTTATGCAGAATCAGAATGGCATTTATTCTTTATCTTGTCGGAAATAGAATCTAGATTCTGTTTTAACGGTGTAATCACAATCCCCCATCGTTAGGAGGCGTTTACCTATTGTATTCTTTGAGTCAGTCTTTGTAGTTGAACTCTAATACTATCTAAATTTTCTTAAATTTTTCAATAATATCAAAATTACGTTTGAATTTTTAGAATGTGAAAATTCAATAAACATTGCTCGGATTATAAATATGTATTGTTCTAACTAAATGTAAGTTTCGCCGAAGATCCAATGTACATCTCAATTTTTCCTGAGAAAAGATCAACTTTCACTTCCAAACGGTCAACCCTCTCTTAAATTTCCAAAACAAATAGCAAAGGTCAGTCAACCACAACCACATTTTAACCTTGACCCGGTTGGCCAAAACAATAAATGTTGTAATGCTGTCCAGCAGAGGAGTTCCCAAATTCATTCGAGTGTGTTCAAGTGTGCTTTTCGTTACCGGGCAAAGTCGGCACGTGCTCAAAATGCCTAATTGGCCGGGATGCCTGGACTCGACTACATATATTTTGTGGCTGTCTACAGGTTTTCGACGAAAGTGCCTGTGGCCAAAAACAAAGGGTTAGGTGCATGTGTGAGAATGTCCACTTGAGTTATTGTTATCACTTTTTTATAAATTTCTAACCCAGAAGCACCATAAATTCCTTGCAAGGCTGTGGTCAGGGGTTTGCTCTAGGTTGTTTGCGGTTTGCTCTAGGCTAAGTTGGAAAGTTAGACACTTAAAGATTCGCTTGGAAAACATATACAAAAACGTATTGGTTCACTATCTATTGACCCACTTTTTGGTTTGCATTGCTCGCATTGATCAAATACAGTAAATTCCCCATGAAATCGAAATTGCATTTAAAACCAATTTCTGTATAATTAACCAGCGAGTGCAATTGGCTGCCCTTCGGGTTTTATGTCGGCCCTCGAAGACTTAAAAGCAACCAGCTACCAACTAATATTTTTCAGACACTTATAATGGGCCAATGGTCGCACGCGTTCAGAATATTAAGTAGCCGCCGCGTGTGCCCCTCAGCCGTATAAATACTCCAGCGGCTGCCATCGCTTGTCATCAGTCAGCTCTTTGCTTTCAAACCAAACCCAAGCTCAGCTTTAAATCACAGAAACCATCATGTTCAAATACGTAAGTTTCAAATTTGTAACCAGCTCTAACTAAATAAGTTAAAATCACTTATTGGTTTACTTGCAGGCCGTTGTCATCTGCGCTTTGATCGCCTGCGTGGCTGGAAAGCCAGGACTGCTCCATGCTCCTCTGGCTGCTCTTCCCGCTCCCGTGATAGCTGCCCCTGCTCCGGTTGTCACTGCCGCCAGCAGCCAGGTGGTGGCCAGGACCTTCAATGGCATTGCCGCCGCTCCGCTGGTTGCCCAGGTTCCAGTGGCACCTGCTCCAGTTTTGAGGACTCTGGCTGCTCCACTAGCAGCCCCATTGGCTGCTTCACTGGCTGCTCCTCTGCGCGCTCCTATTGCCTTCGCTGCTCCGCTGGCCGCTCCTCTTCCCGCTCCAGTGGCCGCTCCTCTGGCTGCACCAATCCTCAACAGAGTGGCTCCATTTGCTGCTCCCATTGCAGCTCCCATTGCCACTCCCCTCGCTGCCCCCTACGCCTCTCCTCTTCTGGCCAAGTACACTGCACCATTGGCTTATGCCCCAGCACCGTTGGGCTACGCCGCGCCCGCTTTGTGGTAACGGAAAAAAGCACAGACAACAGGGATTAAGCAACCGTTTGTGTGTTCAATGACTGATAGCCCTTAATAAAAATCGTTAAAATTGGTAAACAAAAAAATTGACTGCATTGTTTGTCCTCTCCTCTCATGATTGGGCTGGTTTTTCAGGTGTTTCGTAAAGGGTATTTGGATAAATTTCTTTGACAAAAAGATTAATGGGGCAGATAAAAGTCTGGCTTTCGCATTTTTGCGCAACAACTTACACTATTAAAATAGGAGTAGATAAAAAGTTCGGGTAAAGTTGTAGAAAACAATTTGATTCTTATCACGATTCATCTGAAAAATAAAAACTTACTACAAACTATAAAATAGGTTTTTAATCTTTAAAAAAGAAGAGTTGCTTAGGCAGAAATAATTCATACCAAACAAACAAACAGTTTAGATTTTCGCTTACAAGTGACGAAAGGTTTTTACATAAAGAGTATTTAAGCATCGCCTGGATACCTGGAAACCTTTAATTTCCTGTCACTCCTTCCTCCACATTCAGGTGTGTTTTCCCTTTCCACTGACCACCAGTCCCCTCAAAAATTCTGGGGACACATGTAGAGTCAATCGTTTGTGTCGCGTCGTCGCTTTTCATTCAGGTCATTTGGGTTTCATTGTCCCACATTGGCTTCGTCTACGGTTCTAAGGACGAATTATGGCACAGGGACGTAGTGTGTGTGAGTGTGTGTGGTTTTTCTGTGGATAAATTGGGTCGGTGCTTGTGTGGAGCCAGGAGAAGGCTATTCTAGGGTCGAATCGTTTTTCATTTCCTCTCCTCGATATTTGCCATTCATTTGGCATTCGACAAACAATGAGAGAAGCGAAGCGCAATAAATGACCAATAAATGTTCGAATTATTTTCTTGCTTTCCTCCTTTAGCTTTAGCGCTATGAAACAGTGGATGTGGACAACTTAAAGCTAAAGTTTGGCCGCAAACAACGCACATCGAAAAAAAGGAAATTAAGAAAGTAATGCCGAGCAGAAAGCGAAAACTTAAACAGCAAAAGAGATAAGAGGCAAACATACACGCAATTCCTGCACTACTAAAGCCTCTTTTTCACTACCCATCCCCTCAAAGTTTTCCAGGATTTTCCCGGGGTGGGGGGAAATTTCCATGTCGGCGTTGGTTGATTTTCAACAGCAGCGCAAACGCAGCAAAGTTTATCCTCAATTAAACTTTTTGTTGTTGCGTAAAATTGCGCTTGAAGTTGGCCCCGGCATCTGTCTCTGTGTGCGTGTGCTCTGTGTGCGTGTAAGATGTATGCTCACATGTGCACTGAAAGAAAAGTTATCGGATAAAAAAAGGTAAAAACAAAAATTGCAAGTAGCCGGACTACCAGCAATATAATTTAAATAAAATTAATAGTGGCGGGTCTTTAAAATAGGATTACTAGTGATAAGTTAATAAAAGCACTAAAAAGCCTTGAAATGATTAATTATTTTAGTTTTAATGATTCTGATAACAATAACAATGATTAAGTAAAATTTCGTAGGTAGCATTTTATTTAAAAAAATAAAAGCGGCAATAAACCTAAATCACACTTTAAATTTCACACCCTACACTATAAATACCAAATGAATACCATTTTTTGATAGTGTTTTCTTGTATGTGCGTTAGGCCGTACGTCAAGCTCAGGGCCCCTGCACTTCCTATTTATCCGAATCTTCTTCCTTAACAGCTCCACTTCCACCCCATACCCTTTCCACCACCATCCACCATCTTCATTTGTTGGCTTAACTTTTAACTCCACTTGCCTTAATTTTTTGGGCCAAGTTTATTGTTGTTGTTCATCTGCTCGGCACAATTTTTCGGTAATTTCCGCCCTTGTCTATGGAAAGGGAGCGGGGAAAAGGGCCGAACTTTCCCATTTAGAAGCCTTTTTTGCTTTGTGGTAGGTGGCTCTTCCTAACCATCTGAGTCTTAGAATTTCATTAGCTCGCTTCGTATGCGTTTTAATTTGTTGCATCATTGCCCTGTTGAGTTTTTCTTTTAATTGATTCAATATCAAGTTCCCCGCCTTCTTCCTTTCAAACCCTGCTTTGTTATCATCCTCTGCCGGTGCGGCCGAAAAGTTTTTAATGCATATCTTCAAGTAATTACCAAGACTTTTTCATTAGGTCTTGCAAAATGATTTGTGAGTTCGACGGTGGGGTCTCACATATATATTATATATTTATACATTTGAAAAGTTTACGTAATGTACCCATCATCCAAAAATATTACCAATTCAGAGATATGAAATAGCGTTTTCGGTTTAATAGCACTATAATAACTAGGTTGGTATTATTATGCAACGTACAACTAGAAACGTAAACTTACTTATGCAAGTCTTTTAGCGAACAAGTTTATCATCCATAACACATTGAATCCTTTAGCCAACAATCGCTTATTTATCTTGTAAAAATCAAAAGCCACGTCTTTCCCTCTGAGATGTCTGCTTTTCGTTGAAAATTGTTTAACATTTCAATATCATACGTTGCTCATTTCAATATTTACTTTGGATCCAACGGAGAGAGGAGTACACATACATTTGCCAGCGGTGCAGTAAATTCTTAAAGGACTCCAATATCGAATCCGCACAGGAAGTGGGACTGTGTGCATGTGGAAGTACATCGCAGATATCCACGCAGACAAAGCGAGCTAGACGTTTGGTCGGACCCGTTTCCGGTTGTGGTTGCTTAGGCCCCTGAATCCCGACGCTAGGATGCTGCGATTCGAAGGGCAATGGGAGGCGAAGAGGAAGGGGGCAGGGCAGGGACTCGGAACGGGGACTTTGCCAAATAACGGCACTCAGTCACTCAATGCGGTTGCTTAGCCTTTCAGCTACAGACCGCAAAAATCCAGCAGCCTTTTCTGGCTTTCGATATGACGACAACGGAACGGGGGCGAGGCGCATCGCATGGCGTATACGTAATGCACGGTGAAAAATTTTAAGGCAATTAAAACACTCACTATATTTGATGTGAAACTATTAATCCTGATATCATATTATCCATAATTCCCCGAAATAATTTAGTTTCAATATTATAGTGCAATAATTGGTATGGGCTTTGCTCAATTGAATATCGATAAACGGGAAATATCGATCATTGAGATAACGGATTATTTTACTTTGGGATTCATTTGGAAGGTGTGATAACTAACTAATCAAAAAAATTACTTAACATGCTTTACAGAATTAAAGATTAAAAAATATATTCCACTCCAGTGTTTTTGTATCTTAAGCCATACAGAATCATGTAGTGATCATTCCTTAGCTTTGGATGGGATATTTCCGCGCAGTGTGCGTATACGTGATTTGTTTGCCAGAGCAATTTACATGCCCCGGCGATGGATGAGATGCGAGATGTGCGACAGAAATGGCGTTGCAGATGCCAATGGAGATGGTGATTCGAATGGAGATGTCGAACGCCGGATTCTTTTGCGTGTGATTGTGGGCAATGTGGGCGGCGCTGGTGGGCTGTAACCGTGTGGGCGTGGCTGCTGGCACTTTGACATTTGGCACCCTCGCGAAATTTTGAATTTCCGTACGGCAGGTGGCGCTGGGGCGCAACTTTAATCGCCCAAATGCAAATCGAAAGCGACGCGTGGTTAAGCGTCTAAGTAATGAGCAGCTGTCGGATCCCAATTTGCATCCACGCCGGAACCGACGCCAAATGCAATTGACAATGGATCGAACCGACAAAAGCTTAATCAGAACTAATAGAAAAGGGCATCGGGTGGCTGCTGAAACAAAAAAGCTTTGCTCTGTCTGTTTCTGGGCGCCGGCAACGCTCCACTTCCCGTCAATTGCCATGAGCTGGGGGATTTAGCTGAGCTAAGCCTTTTCCATTGAATGCGGATTATTGCATTGATTTTTTGCCAATTTTACGCATTCGCAGGGCGGGCGACAGGTAAGCCAGCTAACAAGTAATGGAGGCCACTGAAAAACTCCTGGATAACAATGAATCTGAAAACAGCTCCCGTATCACCTATTTATTTTATTTATTTCGAATAATTTTTCTTAAAGAATTTTAAATTATTCCCAATAATCAAACTGAACCTGACATTCGTGTAAGGAAACCTCTGCTAAAAAGGGTACAGAATGGAGACGGAAAACAAATGAGGATTTTCACTTAAATGCATTCTGGCAAAGGACATCACGATACGAGCATTTCCAGCAAATTTCCTTGCTCGCAGTGCCTAAACAAAGGAAAGAATTTCATGGATTCCCTCTTCCGGTTAATAACCCCTTTTCAGTGCTTGCGCCTTTGAAGGAGAAAGTTTCCCCGAAGTTTGTTTTCTTGCGCGTGTGTGTGTGTGTGTGCGGGAAAGGGTTTTCCCATCCGGCACACCCACACATGTGCGTGTGTGCTGACGCAGCTCCTTCAAATCCGCTTTGGGTGCCGAAAACGAAAAATAATTAATTAAGAAGTGCAAATCATAGCAAAATTATGCGGGCTGCCAAATTAAAACGAAAGTAAACGCCACCAACAGACACATCACAAAGGAAAAGCGGGGAAGTCGGGGGATGTATGCAGAATGAAATGCTTGGCGACATGAGATGAAAGATACAGAATGCGGAATTGCGGATGATTTGGGGGAACCCGAAGGCAGAAGTTAATGAAGGATTGGTGGTACTGGCTGATTGGGTTTTTTGCTGTAAGTCCCTATTAAACTGAACAAACAAACTTTTATGTTTATACTCTTTAAGTCTTTCAGAACTTGAAAAGAATTTGTCAAAACTAATTGTGCTTTAAGATTCACAAATAAGATTTCTTTTAATTAAATAATTTAAGTTTTTAAAAAAGTTATTTTTAATTTCTGGAAATGCGGAAGATTACGACCATTTTTTTTTTTTTTTAAATATTTAAACTATTTTATTTTTTGCGATGATGTGTGTATAGCGAGTTTCGAAATAGGAACTCTAATTTCCATCAAAAAAACTTTCCCGTAGCACGTTTCAAGTTTATAAATTCGCAATCGGAGAAACAATCTGTCTGGCTCTAATAAACTGCTGGCCAAACAATTTGCGGTCTGATGACATACGTTTTCCTTGAGTTTCCCACCTTCAGCCGCCCACTTTCTTCTCCT